AAGAGAGACATAAGATGACAGAGGGTTGACATTGATTCCAAGTTTAGAAAGCAGTGAGGTTATTGGCTTACCCATCGACCTCAATTCCTGTACCCCTTTCCCCCGCCCAATCTTAACTAAACCAAAAACAGAGTCGTAAATTTAACGATATGGATATATGGCCATTGTGAGGTTAAGAATGAATGCATTAAATTAGAATGAATTGGTATGAGCAGACAGAGTGTAAGCGATCATCATTGGATGAAAGAGGAGGAAAAAAAGGAGCTCGAAAAGACGCTGCTTCTACCCTTTCCTTCCTTCTCCTCCCCTACTACTACTACCATCACCAAATGTGTCATCCATCTATCATTTTATGATGATATCGATTGATAGCATGGTAATGGTGGTGGTGGTGATGGTGGTCGTGGTGTGGTGATGGTGATGGTAGGTTCGATACGAGAAGTTACCTTGACCAAGACACATTCGGTAAGAGGAGTTACCTTGATCGAGACACATTTAATACGAAGAGTTATCTTGGTCAAGACATATGCGATACGAGGATTACCTTGATAAATAAATAAATAAATAACGAGAACCAATTGCAATAAGCCAAGAAATATCAAAATCACGTGGAAGAAACAAATACATTAAATAAGCAAAACTCGACTAGAATTAATTTTTTGATTTATTGAAAAGTACGATTATTGAAAAACAAGTAACCGATACGAGGAGTTGCTACCTGGATGATGAGATACTCGACAGCAAGAGCTACCTGAATGAAGATACCGGTAGCTTTTCATACCGGTAGCTACTAAAGGGTATGAATGGAATATATTAGGCAACGTTATGATTCTCATGATGATGAGGGATTATCTGCATAATCCAATTGACCCTGAATTGCGCGACATCATTTCAATTATCCTTACTTATCCTTACATCTTTATCTTACTACTAACTGAAATGAAATATATAAGAAATTCAATTATTTTATAGAAATTAAATTAGAATTATCAAAAGTAAAAAAAAAAACAATAAAAAATATATTTGCAATAAAATTTCTTTAAATGATATTATCGACTGAATAGATTAAAATAACTAATTGAAATGATTTTAGCACATGCAAATGTTTCAGGTATGCTTCGTCGTTATCATTTGCTAAAAACTTCGATGGCATTCATTAGCGTAATTTATAAATTTGTACCATTTATGCAGTAAATGACTAAAATTATTTGCTAAGGTTAAATTTTAATATTCAAAAGTAAAAATACATTTAAATTTTTAAACAAAAGTCATATCATTCAAATTAAATATGAAAAAAGAAGGAAGGCATTGGTGCTTCAGCGGCATATTTTGCACATCAAAGAAGAGAAAGAGATACATACATCTGTCGTCGCATCACAACAAATCAGAGAGTCTTTTTTATATTTTTTGTAAGATCGATACAGAATTGCTTAATATTATTTATTGTTTATGCTATCGTTGTTGTTGTCGTTGTTATTGTTGTCGTTGATATTATTACCGTTATTGTTATTGTCGTTGCTGTTATTTGAAGTTGAAACGAATGTTACAGATTGGAATGTCCTTGAATTTCATTTTATTTCACACTGATTTCTCAAAAAATTTTTACAAATTCTTTCGTTGTGCTTATATCATAATCGAAGTGATAACGAATTGAGTATTATCAATCACTGTTATCACCTCAATTGTCATCATATATAGAATCATCTAAAAGTCTTTTGAATAATATTGATAATTATATGAAATATCAAAATTTAACACCACTACCTATATCCCAAAAAAAGTTTTCAAAATTTATTGATAGCTAGTTTTACAGCTATTTTGTAAACATATTTCGAAAGCTGAAAAATTTTCTTCTATAAATCGGTGAAGATTTAATAACAAAAAAAAAAGGTCACTGACTGGGAAAAAAATTATAGAAAAAATCTTTCCACAAATAATACAATAAAATTTATGGAAAAAAATTCTTTTTAAAATTCGTTTTAAAAGGAAAAAAAAATTCTGAAATTGGAATCAATATGAAAAGTAATATAACATCCAAATCTTTCATATTTTCGTTCTTTTCCATTTTCTTTTCTTTGCTTTGATTTTAGAACAGTCTCATAATTTTCAGGATAAAGAGCTGAATGAATGAATGAAATAGATGAACGGAGAGGTCATATGTTCTTTTCATCTTCTTGAACATAACTATTCTATTATATCATTTATCAAATTTCACACATATCATAAATTTTTAAAATGTCATTTAAAAATTTAGGTCACTCACTGATAAGATCATCCTGAATCTCAATATGTTATAATTGGATGTTATTAAATAGCAATGCCATTTTACCGTTAATTTTATATATTTCTCTGCCCCGATTTATGACAAATATATTCATTGCAATCTTCAAATTTCCCAAAGTGTACCCTATTTAAAGGATTGCTGTTGATTGGCCTTATCAATTGTTAGTTTATAATCAGAAATTTGTTTTCAGATGGAATTGGATGTACACAGGTACCTTCTTCGGTATACAAATCTGTAATCTAAACTACACAAACATTACATTTTGTAAATAATTTTAAAAATATTAGATTGAATAGATTCTATCAAAATTTAATTTTTCATTATATATGTACATTTTTTTAAAGGCAATTTCGACATATAGCAATTGCTGCAGTAACATTATCAATATTTTCCGTCTCATTAGCAATCTTGACTGTGCCATTACTCTACAGCTATGCTCATCATTTGCATTCGAAAATTCTGGATGGAACAGAATTTTGTAAAGTAAGATAATTTGCTGTACAGTTTATTGATTTTGGAAGTTTGCGCCATGGAAATGCATTTTTTTAGATGAGTTCTCGAGATATGTGGTCCGAAATATACGCTCTTCGGGATCAGCGTCAGACGGGAAGACGTGAGAAACGTGGTTGGTTATTTGGACAATGGCGAGATGATGGTATTGGTGATGCAGGTGGAAATGGCGCCTATGGTGCACCTGCAGCAGCGGTTCCATTTTTGTGTTTATGAAAAGAAAAGTAGAATATCAAGTTGAATTGTGGAAGTTTTTGAAAGATTCCTAAACTTAATTGAAATTAAAAATTATAGCCCGTTTTTGAACCGCCATCACCATCACAGCCGGATAAAGAGGTGGTAATACATATGATGCGTTGCATGTGTCAACATGGACCACCTGGGCCACCAGGACCACCGGGGAATGATGGCAAAGATGGTAAGGATGGACAACCCGGAAAGGTAGCTATTATTTTAGGATCAATAAATTGTTAAATCTAGTATTGTTAAAGCCTTTTTTTTGAATTTCAAAAAGAAATTTTTTAAGTTTCATTTCCTTCAAAATGTTATGATAATTGGAGATTATTTGAAAATATTCTAATTTCATCTTTTGTTTAGATTTTAACATTTTTTCTTGATAGCATGGAAATTCTGGAAGAAGTGGTAACGTAATGCCGTATGATGGTTTGAAAACGGAACCTTGCATAATTTGTTTGCCTGGTCCACCTGGACCACCAGGACAACCGGGTAATAAGGGACCACCAGGACCGCGTGGTGAAACGGGAGAACCAGGTCATGATGGTAAGTAAGAATTAAAGCAATGGATGGTGCCGACTGACATTTACTAAAAAATACTTTTCAGGGAAAAAAGGAACTCGTGGCATGATTGGGCAACCCGGTTCAATGGGAAAAACCGGTCCAGTCGGGCCTAAGGGCAAAAAAGGAGAAGTAAGTTATATTCTGTATGTTTGTCATTGATTTCATTATATATTACTGGGTAAAAATTGAGTTCGGTCCAAATGATAGTTAGTTAGCACTAATGATTTATGCAATATTTTCCAATCCAATATAAAATTTTCCAGTAATCTTATCACATTTCAGGATGGAAAACTTATTAAAATAAAAGGACCTGCTGGTATTCCAGGAGCTCCAGGACCAATCGGACAACCTGGTATGAAAGGAGCAAAAGGGGATCGTGGACAGACTATTCCTGGACCTCAAGGACCACCAGGCGAGGTAAATTATTTGGGACTTTTGCAGATTGCTATTCGAAATTCATTATTTATTCTTTGGCTGCATTCTTCAAAATCATACCGGATATATGTTTCAGAAGGGAAGAAAAGGTAAAAGTGGAAAAAAAGGACCACGAGGATTGCCAGGACCGAACGGCTTACATGGTTTGGAAATTAATTTAGATAACTATTTAAAAAATTGGGTTGCAATTCTCTCAGGAAATAAAGCATTCTTTATTAGTCAATTCTGGAGCACTAAATTTCTAAAATCTTAAATAATTAGAAATTCTGAAGATTTTAAAAGACAGATTTTTATATCTTCCTTTACTCCCTAATTTAGGTATCGATGGTGGTTGCGGTCATTGTCCACCACCGCGAACTGCACCTGGCTATTGACATAGGATATAACAACGAAACTTCTAGTTACAATAGTGCTGTTTTATATTTGATAGTTTTGCATAAAAAATTGTTTACGTGCAGTAAAATAAAACGTACTCACTTTTTAAATTTATATTTAATGATATCAAATTAGCAAAAGTTCGATACAAATTAACCTAATTGATCTAAAGATGATAATAATAAATTTCTTTGGAATAAGGCATCAGCCAATTTTTTGTTATATATTAAATATTATGGAACATGTCTTTCTCACTAAAATCTTACAAATTTCTTGAAGACAAGTTAAACATTGATAGCAGTAAAATTTACATATTCCTTACATTCTTCTATTTTAAAAGTAAAAGGTAGGAACTATTCAACTATGCATTAAAATAATTTCACACTTACTGTAATATGAATAAATTTATTGTAAATTGTAACTAATATATGCTAAATATTCAGTGCTTCAAAATTAAACTAAAATTATGATAAATTCTTCCAGAAAATTTAAGATAATTTAATGATAATATCATTTCTGTGTTTGCTAATATTTGGAAGTGGTTGTTTGCATATATGTATGTATGTACCTGTAAATACATATTGAAGCATTTTTTTTTATGGTTGGTATTTGTAAATTTATTAGCAGTGGATATTAGTAATTTGCTTGCTGAGATAGGCAATTGATATTGTTTACTTTGTATGAAAACTTTTTAGCAAATCTAATGAATAAACAGTATTTGATGAACTGAAATTCATTTATATTTTCTTATTCATTTTAAATTGCTCAAATTTTTGCATAAATTTCATTAAATATATTCAATTTTGTTAAACACTTTCATACACACATATATATATACGTAGATATTTTCTGATGGTTTGATAATTGGTTAATTACTTACTTATTTACTTAGTTACTTTAGTTTTCACGCAACTATTATGTAAGAAAATTTTTTGCAGCACTTAGTATTTCTTTAGCTTCTAAAAAATTTTTTCTTTCTATGCATTATATTCCTTGCAATCAATGAATGAAGTGCTTTTGAAGGCATCGCTTGATACATTAAGTGCTCAGATTGCTGATATGACTTTCACTGATATTTTTATTTTCATTTTAATCGGTGCTACTATTGGTATAATGCTGGCAATGCTTGTCATCGTTTATATGTGCAAAGCTGTAGGTATCTTATTAAACATAAATTAAATTATTAATTTAGACTTATAGGAGTTAAACACCGAAATCTTATCGCTTTTAAATCATTTTATGATAATAAAACTAAATTTTGTAGTATATACAGTTATGAATTATAAGTTTAAATAATTTAATCTAAATTCATATTGGGCTAAAATAATAAACTTTTATAAGTGGATAATAGCTTAAATTTATTATAATTAGGCAGTGAAACTTTTAGATTAGAAGTCGTCATTATATTGATGTTCCATTAAATTATCGTCCAATGGTAGTACCATCAAAAAATTCTCCATCATTTAGCAAAATGAATGGTTTTGATAGTAATAGCGGCAAAGCGAAACAAAAAGTAACATTTCAAAATTTAACTGAAACAAAAAAAATAAATCATTAATAAAAGCAATTATTCCATTATTTTTTAATGATTCTTTTGCAATTGAATATTAAATGATAAGCTTAAGCCTAGGACTTTATTAAATGTCGGTGACACCTTAGCCTTAATATTTGACTGCAAGTAAAAATACCGATAAGAGTAAAGTTGTTTACAAGTCAGTTTTATATATCTTTACTTGTTATATATTTATTCATATTCTTTCTATGATTTTTTATTTTCCATAATCTGTTTTTCACTTTTTTTTCCTTGTCACAGAAGATAGTATCACTGTCAACTTATTACTACTACTACTATCTGTACAATATATCATGAATGACCTTGGCCTATTGAGCCATTTAAAAGGAAGAGAAGTTATTATAATTCAAAATATTTTCCAGTGAGTAAACACAAGCAAATTGCGCCATCTGCAATCATTATATTCCAACAGCAAACATTTGCACAGTGATGAAAAATGCAATGAAACTGAAAAATAGTTTTAAAAAAAACCTTTAAAAAATTCCCAAGAAATGATTTTACTTTACTTTGTTAAAATTTGTTGAATGTTCAAATAAAGAATGAATTGCATTTCTATGCAATAATGTTTTTGTGAAAATAACGTTAACGTTTATGCTTTATTATCCTCTATCTTTTACCAACCAATTTTCTCTCGGTGTAATCTTTGCTGTGTTACGAGAATTACCGGCAATTTGCTATTCCTTCGTTAGCAAATAATTCTTTCAAGTACAGCATTATATATAATCGATTGTCAATATATTGGCATATTGTCGCAGTTGCCCGGGATATCGTCAAGGTAACACTTTTAATGTTGTCGGTATGTTATCGAATATTAAGCTTGTCTACCTTTTAGAATATTAATATTTCCATCAAATCAAATTTATCCTACTACGATACATTATCATTTAGCTAGAGCTTCAGCTTTTAGCTAATCTTTCTCACTGATGTTTTTAGCCTCAACCTAAGCTGTAATTTACTATCAAAGAAGAAAACGAGTCATAGTATGGGGTCAAAATGCTACGACATTTTCTTGCTAAAGTAAAGTGTCTGTGATAGTTAGGCCTAATTGTTCTAAGGTAACGAATTAGCAGTCAGATAGCAAAGCTTACCACTTGGACCTTTCATGCGAATAACGATTAAATATTTGTCAGACATTTTCAAGGCATCCATAGTATTTAAGACGCAGGACAAATGCCAATGCTACCAATTTAGGCTTAATTTAATATTTCCGACTCATTCATTTCCTTGGTTACTCACACAACAGTAATTGCTATCACCGCTCACAACGAATTTATTAATTTCAATTTCCAACTTTAGCACATAGTGCCACAACCCTCGCTGTATTTTTGAAAAATTCAAATAAAAAGTTTATTATTATAATCATTACTAATTAATTAGTTATTGATAATTCGGAATAGCTGCAAGGCAAGGAATGAAATTAAAGTTAAAATCTATTTTACCTTTTTTTAATCAGCCTCTCCCAGTAACTTTTTTTTAAACTTTTCTGTTTTTATTCTATCTATTTCTTCCTTAAAATTAGATTATTCATAAAATAGGCAGAGATAAAGTTCGAAAAAAATTTTTATAAATGTTAACTTTTGTTGTCGAAGATTTCTTGAAATATTTAATACTGTTTAGACGGTAGTTTTTAATTTTGAAATGGACTTTTGTTGAAAATTCGAATTCTTTTCTTATAAATATATCATTTAAAGCGCGACTTTAAAAAGAAAAATGACAAAAATTTTTGAGAAATGATAATGGTACTTTGAATATTAGCAAACTTTTAACAGGTGAAAAGCGATAAATATTCCCGAATGAATTCTTAGATCATCTTTTTCGAAACTTGAATTTATTCATATCAACTTGCCTTGAAATTGAAATCCGAATTAAAAAAATTCTATAGCGCTTGAAATTTTTTAGAAAAATCTACTTTTGTTAATCTACTTTTGCAAGAGAAAAATATTCCTCTCTCATCAATTTTGTTCGCTTTAAAATCAATTTTAGATTTTCATGTTAATTTCACTTCCTCCCCTTTATATTTTGCTAAATTATGTCGTTTATTAACGATCTAAGGAGTGGAAAAAACAATATGTATTAAAATTAAAGATATATTAATGCACTTCGTTTTATTCAGAAGACAAAGTTCACAAATATTTATAATGATGGCCAGAAATTGGCTATTAGTGTGATGTGTATCTATCTATGCATGTATGTGTATGTTTTGAGATATACTTAGGATTAGGATGACAACTGAAATCGTAGAAATTGTGAGTCTGAATGCATGGATATCTTTCCTGGACGTCTCCAAATTTGAAAAAATGACCAAGCACCAGCTGAGCAACACAATAAAAAAACGAAGGAAAACGACCATTATATGTTTAAATTGAAAAGACCTAACGCTCACAAATTATACGATTGAAAACAGCAATTTTCTTACTTCGTACAACACTATCAATTTAAATAAAATAAAATCTACAGCAATATCTCAAAATGATAAATTAAAATCTTGAAATTTTTTGGAATCGTGCAAATAATCTAGGTTTTTGTTTCTCTCCTGAAAGGATTCAGAATTTAGAATGCTTTCAAATAGTTCTCGTCAACAATATATTTTCCAATTATTTTTTTTTTACGAAAAATGAAAAGAAATTAGAAATCTAAATAAAATCTCCTTCATTCACGAAGAAATTATGCATATGTATAGATGTATATATGAATAATAAATGTTTCACTTAATGATTGAATCATAACATATTCTCAAATACAAAGCTATATTTCTGTATTTCTAATGAAAAGCAAAGAAAATGCAACCAATAGCCTCACGTGACCTCTTGACCTTTCAGCACCTCTATGAATATAATATTTATTTCAAACATAAATCTTCTTTTTTTACAACACAGCTCAACTCTTTTACAAGTTTCTATTATTACCGTTTTGCATTTGACCTTATCTTCCTGCAATATTCATTTATTTAAACGGTACTCTATTCCTAACAAAATCTCACTGATTTAGCATATTTCTCAGCTTTGTACTTTCTAACGAATTGCAACTCCGGAAGAGGGACTCGCCATTCTGTTTTCAGGTTTACAATCCCCATATGACTTCACATCAGCAAACACCACTGGCACTGAAACAAAACAGATAAACCAGTAAATACCGCAGCATTGGTCCTTTCCTGCTATTCGTTGGCAATTTATGGATATGCTAGCACCTTAGCAATGATTTTATTTGAGGTGGGGTGAGCATTTCTGCGTGATTACGTAGAGACACGGGGTATCCCGTGTTCGTACCACGTTAAAGGTCACCTTTCTGTGATTATACGGATTGAGGCATGGTGACATAAAGAGCGGAACAGATAGACACGAACTGTTTATAAATGTAATAAATGTAAAGGCTAACTTAAATGTATTTAATGTGTATCGATCTGTTGAAGTTTTAAATAAATAATGACCTTTTACTTTTAAAGATTCCGCAAGTACCAGGCAAATTTAGAGTTGTTGTCGTCAAATATAAGAAGAAATCCAAATGACATTACAATTCAGAATGATGTGATGATTATTTTTGACAATAATAATTGAATCTTACTTTTCTGCAGTACAAAAATATGTGCATGAATTATTTCGAAGCACCGCTAACAGTGTAACACTTTCTTTTTCTATTAAAAGCTAACAAATTTCAGTCTTTTGAAAAACAAAAAATGAAAGTTTTAAAGTGTTGCTATCAAAAATTACGGAAAGAAACGGATCACAATGAGCGGACGAAGTAGCGACGACATTGATGTCGAAATTGTCAACTTATATGAAATGTTGGTTGCATTCCTTCAATGTTTTGCTTTTTAACAATTACAAGATGTGGGCTTTCTGTGATGGCTGAAATAGTAGACAGATGATTTTTAGAGTAATTAGTAAACATACAGCATATCCATTATACTGATTTGATATTAAGTGACTAACAAATAAAGCGACTTTACTGGCGTACTAAGCATGGCGCTTTCATTCCAAAACTGCGCTAAATATGAAATTGCCTGTTAAGCATAACGTACTCCTCCAAAAAAGAGAAAAAAGCTTAAGAATTGAGTTATTATTTTTATTACAGACTACTTTGCATGGTTCTCATTAATCTGAATGGTACTAGCCGACAACATAGGTTTGGCAGCATTCATTTGTAGAGCCGTGAACAGTTATATTTATGTAACAAACTCAGCAGCACACACACACACGTGGTTCTAATTAGCGTCTTCCCTTGTCCATGTGGTCATAACAGAATTTCAGTTACTGTCCTTGCTTACTTATCTGTTGTGTCTCGTTGCGTATTTATCCGGCAGTGGTACTTTTTATTTACCTAGTTGTAGTTTCTATGTTCTTGTCTTCAACATTTTCTAATTTTTGAAAAGCGGAAACTCGATCTTTGAAAATTGTTAGTGTAAGCCAATTTGTTTAAATCACCAGTGAACCGGTTCATGCTTTCCAATCATTCATAGTTTAATTTTTCCTCTTTCGGAAATACTTTTTTCTGAAAACTTTCTATAACCAAGTCGATAATGATCATAATAAAATTTAAAGACATTCAAATTTATAATCTATACTTTGGAACAAACAGGAAAAAAGGATTCATCTTTAAAGATTCAGTTAAAATGAAATATTTTTCGAAGCAATATTATTTAGTGTCTAGTGAAGAAATTCCATTTTCTAACACAATGTTTTTAAAAAATTTCATGTAAAAAAGTTTGAAAAAAAATGAAAGTTTGTTGAGAATTTAGTTCTTTCTGATAATCGTAATGAATTAAAGGATTGATTGGGGTTTACTAATCGAAAGTTAAGTTTTAAAACAAGTTGTATATTTTTTTATCGATTTAGGATGGAAAATACATGTTTCTATGCTTTATAATAAAATGATAAGAAGTACCGAATAAGAAAGACTATGGGTATGGTAGTTTTTCTTGATATTTTCAACTTAATAGTGCTTTTCGTACTGTATTAGCGAAATTTCTCGTTTCTCATGCATTACAACTGAAAAGAAAAAAAATAAAGTATTGTTTTTAATTAGTTGTATAAACACTTTATCATGCCGAATGATGCTTGTATTGGTCTAAATTTTCTCACTTGTTAACATCCACTCTGAGCATGTATCATAGCTGTATGAAAACGGAACTGAATTGTAAGCAAAGGAGGGAAGGAAGAAAACTGAAAGTTAAAGTAAGCTAAGAACCACTACACTAACTGTCAAATACCTTAAAAAAGCTATGAATAATTTAATCAAAAAGTGGATTCAGTGAAACAAAATGGTTTTGCGATTGATATTGTGAGTTTATTTGAGACGACGACTTGAAACAGTTTCAGTGCCATGACTTATCCACTATCAATACGAATGATGCCAAGACTTCGTTGTTGAAATATCTTAATGTCATATGTTTAATTCCTGTTTGTCTTTACAACCTCTGCAGCATTTTATATGGGAAAGTTATCCCAGTTGTTGCAAATTACTCAAACACATACTCCTGTAAGAAAAATCTCCCAGCTAATTTGTTTGATTCAGAAAAATTCTAGAACAGATTAGATATGCAAAGGTTGAGAGAAAAATTGCAATTGCATACTACATTTGTATTATTGATGCTATTTTTGCAATTGTAACTTTTAATAGTTGGCATTATTAAGAGTGTCTTTAATTTTGCTTGACGTAGGTATTTTAATTCAGTTTCCTTGTGGGTGAATCAGTAAAGGAAATGACGACCAATTAGTACTATTAAGACATTCATTTTCTAATAAGTTAAAAATATTTCAATTCAGTTTCAATAAACATTTCCAGTTACTTGATATTCGACAATAAAAACAAATAGATCAGGAAAGACAGTGAAAGACTGAAAGACTCTTCTTTTCATTCACAGTTAGAGATTAGAATTCTTTTTTTTTTTTTTTTATGAGCGATTTTTATGAATTTCGGACAGGGAAATAATTTTTAAAAATATAAAAATTTATTTAATTAAAAAATAATGAATAGAAGCTAGTGAATGATTTTGCAAAAAATGAAAATGAACGGCAAGGTTAAATGACGATGTCAACAAGATTCGAATAATTTCCGTCCAATTAAATAATAAGAAATGATAATAAAAAATTTAAGTGGACGAAAATTATTCGGCAGATATTTAATTAGACGGAAATTACTGAACAAATAAGGTAAGTGATTTGAAGCGACAGTGGTACAAAGTCTTATAAGTGATAACTGATCGTCCATTTATTTAGGTGCTAGTTTTTATGTTTAAAATTTTCAAATTGCGAAGACGAACGGAAAATATAAATATGAAGTTTGTGCAGATATATGATAATATAATTATCTTTTATATAAATTGATTTTAAACTATTTCTTTTCCTTGGCATTCCTGATCCTGTTTTTGTTCTCTTGTGATTTAAATTTCATCTTTATGTATCAAGCAACATATCCTTAGGTAACAAGACAATTTGAAGATAGCATAAGGGAAGATATGACATATCAGTTGATAATGCTCACATCCATAAGTTAAAACTATTATGACAATCATGCAGAGAAGTCAGAATTTTGAGAGAATTTGCTTATTTTAAAGAAAGAAAACCATTATTTTTATGAATTGGAAATTATTATTAAAAGTTTCTCTTCTATCATCGATTTTTGCAGATTAATGATTGATAGATTTAAGTATCTGATTGCACCATAAAAAGCTTGGATGGTTTTTAAAGTTAAATAATATAGGATTATAGAGATTTCAAAATATTTCAAAAGTGGAGATAATCTTTCTACAAGTTGATATAATGATTCTTCATTTGAAAACATTATGCTCTATCATGTGTATTTTCAGTGATGAAACTGTTATGCATTCCGACGATGCACTACCAACAACCTCTGTAACTCATAATGGTTTGTGCATGAAGTTCCTTTTTAACTTAAATAAACTTGTATTTTATAAAGATCTTATATATTTTTATATATTTGAGTTTATAGAAGTTATACATCAGATTTTTTATAAGCTTTTGTTTAGTACGATCTCCAGTCGATGTCGTTTTCATGCCTTCTGACTTGAGCAGCTACCGAAATAGAATTGATGCAAGTGTTGATGAACAGCGGAAATATCGTCAAGTTCTAGCGGGTTTGAGCAACAAGGTTAGTTGATCCAATCATACTAGATATTAGATGATCAAGCACAATTTACTGCAATTCAAGGCATCTCCGTTTCGTATGCATTATGTTATTCACTTTTAACTTTAGTCGTATTATTTGATCATTCTGCATTTTTTTTTTAATATTCAGAATGAGAATGAAGGATATTTCACAGTGGACATGTCTTCATTTATTGACTGTTTGAAACTTTCAAGTGTTAAAAGTTTTAAGAAATCCAAAATTTTCAGGTGAAGAAATATCGAAAGCATACCGCAAAATCGGTAGCTCAGCTGAATGCTTCACAGGTTTCAGATGTTGATACCATTGGTGATATATTTCAGGTCATGTCACAGTACGTGTTTGGTATATGGGGTTTTTTTTTGAAGATATTTGGAAGTGGTTCAAGGTCATAGCTAATAAAGTTTATACAGGAGGAGCGCAACTGTATTATTACTCAGTTCAAGCCAATAATTGCCTTCTACCTCATGCATCATTTATTTGAATTATTATTACTATAAGACACATATGTTTCCTTAACTTTTTATTTGTATTTTGTACCTTGAAATTATAATCTATAATTTTAAGTTCACCCGAGATGCTACGTATTGGACCTGATGGACTAAGCGCAAATCCGCTGTTATCTTCCTCTTTCACTGACACTGGTTTTAAAACAGAATTGCCTGATAGTTCCACTGATATAATCATTCAACAATTACGTGATGAACAAATAAGGTATGTTTTAAAATGGGTATCATTTTAGCATATAATTTCAACCAAAATTCGATTTTCACGCATTTTATTATGCATTCTAATGATGAATGTACTATTACCAAGCTTCCTAACTCGTAATAGTTTGTGCTTAAAGTTCTTTTTTAATAATTTAATAAACTTAGGTTATATGAATGTATTTCATATATATTTGAGTTATTTCTTATGTAGGAAAAATTATATTATAAACCAAAAATTTGTTGTTAAGTTGTCACATTTAGTATAAACATAGTTTGTATAGGAAAATAATAAAAAATATATGCTATAGGTAGATTAATAGATAGATAGATATGAATCGAAAAAGGAGGATTTCATTTACTTTCTATATATGCTGTGAAATATTTGTAGAAGAGAAGAAGTAATATTTCAGGAATGATGAACTGGAGGATTTAAATGATAGAAGAGAAGAAGTAATATTTCAGGAATGATAAACTGGAAGATTTAAATGATATATATAGGGAACAAGCAGAAGTTATTATACGTACAAATCAAAATTTGAAAGACGAGCTGCTAAAAACTCAGGAAAAATTGATGAAAATAACACATGAAAGAGAAATGGAACGATGCTTTTTACGGCAACACGATGAAGTAATAAATTTTTTTTCGAAATAATCCGTTAAAATTTTGTTTCAAGCTTAAAATCGTCAAAATTTCAAATCTTAGATTTGTATTTAATCTATACCTGATGTAGCTGTTTTGAAGTATTATTATTTACTGAATATATTGTGGATTATATTTCAAGGCCAGTAGTATTAAGTGGAAAGGAAGCATATTAAAATGGGAAATTTGAGTGAATCTATAATTTCGAATTTTAATTTTCATCAGTTTCATAGAAAAAGAAGCGTGCAGTGGATGCCCAATACCAGCATATGCTCGAATTGTGGGTAGTTTTTAACAGACTTCGACGACAGGTTACTAATTAATTTTTTAAAATGATGTTAGAAATTTGGATACATTTTAGTCAGCTTTCTCGCATGGTAGCATTGTGGTAGCGACTGATTAATAGAACTGATTCAAGTCTTATGGCGTTGGAGAATTTAAGTTATATTTGGGAACGAAGTTCTAAAGCCTCGTCATCATTATAGAAACGTTTTGCAGTTACCTATCCATCTAATGATATTAGATCTTATTAGGTTATTGAGTATGAATAAAAGTAAATATAAACAACAATTTTTGTTTCTTTGTTATATTTATTTCGCTTTTCCAGTCGTTTTATTCTTTATTCCCAATTGATAACAAGACGTTTATTATTATTGTTCGTACGACAGTTCCATGTTTAATAAATTAATTCCCACTTTTCGATCCATTGTTAATTTCAAAGTTGGAAGCTAAAATTATTCAGAATTAAATTTTATGAAATTTAGTAGTTGCCTCTATATTTCGTTTAGTTCTTCGCCCTTCTATTATAAGATATTGCATATATATTAAAAACATATCAAAAAGAACATAAACCCTTTGCATATATTTAAAAATTATTATAGAATGATGATGTATGACATAAGCGCACCATGTCGTCATAAACGCACTTTATCAAACTTCTTTTTTACAGGTAAGAGATTTGAGAACGGAAACTGAAAGTGATTTGGATAAACAACGGACCGAATTCGTACGCTGTGCAAATAATATGGAAGCACTTGTTCGTCAAGCCGAGATGAAGGTATTAATTATTGGTTTTCTCTAAGCAGTAGCTAATTAGGCTGTTGTGTCTCAGTTCAGCGCTAAGCAGTGTCAACAGTAGATAGCTTTTTTCCAAACTACTAAGAAAAATTTTAGGGAACTGAGAAAGATATTTCGAAATTTAAGAAGTATCTAAGTTAGGAATGGAACTGAACAAAGTACATACAAAGATAGTGTTTTAATTTGGTCAAGGTTTTAAGTAGATGAATAGTAAAGGTATTAGAGATCAGATGCTGATGGTTAATAGAGTTGGAAGTGTTATTTAAGCGATTAGGTTATTGTTATAGAAATATGTTAGAATGTATTTGTTTGTGTGTGCTATACATATAGTATTAATGTGCTGTTCCAAAGATATCTCTTAACATAAGTCAGCAACTTCATGTTAAAAAAAAAAAACAGCATAAACAGTTAAATTCTATTATATAGTTAGAAACGCGTCTAACTTTTCAGTAATGTTGCCTTTGAATTTATGAATATCATTGAATTCTGCAGGGAGTTTTCACTTTCCTCTACAAGGTTATATTGTTGAATTTCCTATATCTCATCAATTATACTTGTAGAACATTCTGCAAACAATAAACAGAGTTGCGAATCATAAGTTTTTATAGAAGAGTATTACTGATTTTTACTGGACTGAATTTTATTTATTCAGCGGAAACATGTTGCACTGGAAGAAACAAAAGATGAAGAAACGATGAATGATTTATTGAAAAAATATGAAGATGTAGCTGTTCGCAATATTAAGGTTTTAGTTTCCCATATAGTAATAATCATATCATACTAAGTCGTTCTGTTCAATCTGTCCTTTACAGATAAACGGACGGAACAGATCTATTCATGTGACGTAGTAAATGACTGAATATTTTTGATTCTGAAAGAAAATATACGTTAAATTGTTTCCTTCTCCTTTTCTAGCTAGAGCACGAACTGAATGACTCTAATCGCCGGATTGCTGTCATGGAAGATCTCGTTAAGAAAGCTAATGAAGAATGTGATGTTGCAAAAGATTCGTTGAAGAAAATTCATTTAATACCGGAACTAGATGAAATGCGCGGCCGACGAGCTCGTTCTGTTAGTCCAGGTTCGAATTTAATTAAAACTCATTTTTTATAATAGATGACAGTAATTAAGAAATGATTTTGAAACACAGTTTGGTGCATTTGTGAGAAACTTGAGAAAATAAAAGATGTTACATCATTTACTAATTAGCTGAATATGAAGAAAACAAATCGCTGCCAACTTGTTTGAAGCATTAGTGGTGCTTTCGTAGTGTGCTTCTAACATCGCTTCTAACAACATTTCTACTTTGATATTTCGACTTTGACGAAGCATAATTCATTTGCTATTTCCACTACTACTTTTTGCGAAGAATCACTTTTTCAGACGGTTTCTTAGTCTATTTTAATACGATTCGTTTGGTGCGTGCTGCACTACAAGAGAAAAACAACAAAATTAAAGATTATGAAAGGAAGTGTAACGAATACCAAGACAAACTATCTGAGCGTGAAAGTCGATTAAGCCACATGGAAGAATTACGGCGAAAAAGCGATGAAGAATTTGTCGATCTTAAGAAAGAGAATGATAAAATGTTAGTTTAACATTTTGTTAAAAAGACCTTTAATAGAAATAAAAGTTTTTCTGATCCTGTACTTCTTTGACTGGATAGAAAATATGATGAAGAAAGATGCTTTTAGAGGACTTTGAAGATCTAAGAGCTACATTTCTGACTTTATTCTTGACTTGGATAGTGTAACTTCTCGGCTACGAAATGTGTATCGGATGGATTTAGCATAATATCCTGTTTTGCACAAGTTAAGATTTCAGACGACGAGATAAAGAAGAAGTTGAACGAAAATTTCGACGCTTGAATGAACGATTTGAACGCTTAGATACTGAGAAAAATGAGACGCAAAAAGCAATTGAACAACTTCAGAATGAAATTCACTCACTTAATATGTAGGTTACTATTTTGTAAGTTATTATTCAGCTCAAAAAGATTGCATTTCTGGTTCCGGAAAATCTATTTACCTGAGTTCAATATCTGTGGAATCATTTTTTACTGCTTGTTTATTTGTAATAATATTCATTGTACTTTGTCAATTATCACAGTTTATATTGTTATTCAACATAATTGCGATTGTAGCAACCACCAGGAAACGTTAAATGATATGTTCATAAAGCAGCAAGAAGAACTTGCTGAGCGTCGAAAATATTTTGAAGATGAACTGGAAGAATGCCATATGGACAACACCCAGAGACTCGTGGTCTTAAAGAATGACCTCGAGAAGTGCAGAAATGAAGTAGAAGAACTTCGGGATCAACTTCGAAATGCTCAAGCTGATTGTATAGCAGAGCGTCGTCGAATAGCCGAAAAAGGTTATAGTTGTTGCCATTTCCAGTTCAACACATTTCTTTCAGTCTGACATTTTTCTTTTGTTCTATTCTTGTCGGTGGTGAATTTGAGCACAGATTGGGATAAGAAAACAAACACAATCTTGTAGTATCATGTTATCATTAAAAACTAACTGTGCCATTTATTACTTTATTAAGCTGAAGAAACTTGATTCATTAAGTTTTAACAACCAGTACATCTATTACAATAGTATTTACTTAGATGGGATTCTATCGAATTCCACATTTCCTATTGAAAGGAATAAACATATGAATTATATTATTAAATATTTTTCGTTTTTACAAAAAATTATTATAACTATGAAATTATTGCAAGTCTTTAGAAAATGTCATTCTCGAGCATCAGTTAGCATTACGAAATTCACGCGATGAAAACAGAGATATTAGGATTGCAAATGATGCGAAAGATGTACGTTTGGTAGAATTGCAGCGTCGTATGGACAGTTTGGAATTGGAAGCGAAACAGAAGGAAGATAGTTTGATCGAAGTAAGTTTAAAGTAACTATTACAAATACATAGTATTGCCTTATGATCAAAATATTTATTATTTATTTAATAAATTCAACTTATAAATATTCTTTTAGATTCGAAATGAAAAGTCAATTTTGGTAGCTGAAAATGCTTCACTGTTGGCAGATATCAATGCATTACGCGCAAATATAACGGAAAATAAGAATATAATGGGACAAAATGAGGAAGCTTTGGAAAGTATGTTTAAAATAATAAGAAGTAATAGAAAATGTTATCGAAAAGCAGAGTTCGTCACTCGGTGCAATGGATGATATCTGCAGCTGATTGGTTTCTAACTCGTAGAGAATTTATCAACCACATTGCTGGAAATAAAAATTGAGAAACTTGAGAAAAAATTCCAGAGAATCAAATTAGGGTAGATCCATATTACTCTATGCGTACTTCTCTTACTGATTTCTCAACTCCTATCGTTCTCTTCACTAATATATTAGCTTAAAACTGAGGAGATTAATCCGAAATTAGAATTGATTACTGGCAAGTTTTGTTGCATAAGCTCGGCCAAAAAATTTTTTACCGACTTATGAAAAACTTAAAAACTCGCCAAGATTATTTAAATTAGTAAAAAGTAGTGTAAAGTTGCACTATTTTGGATAATTCGAGAAATGAAATATTGAACTAATCAATTTGCAGGATACTTGATTGAATTAAAAGATCTTTTTACTTGTATCAGTTTTCTTTGTTATGCTGACGCTATCATGTTGAAGTATGTTCAAATACAACGCTGTTTATGATTGCTTTTCTATGATTTTAGATGCTACCACAAAAATTTCTGAAATTACGAGGCAGTTGAAAGATCGTGACCAGAAAATTTTGTTACTGGAGAAAACAGTGGCTGACTATGAACTTAGAATTGATTTGGTTCGACCAATTCTTTCTTTTTTTGTTTTTTTTTTGCGATTTTACCTTTTTTAGTTATTTAATTTTTGACTGGAATGAATCGATTTGAACTTATTTATAACATATTCAGCTTAATCGTAATTAGATTGTTTTAAATAACTAAAGAAAATAAAATCAGGAAGCCGATGTTCAAGACTAATTGCACTGCATAATATAAGCAAATGGTCAAATAATGACATAGCATATGATAAATATATTCTATTATTATTTTTTTCCAGATAAATGAACAAATTCTTAATACTAAGGTGGAGAAGACGATGAGAAAGGAAGAATTGGAACAAAATGCTGAAAAAATTATTGCGCTCAATCAAGAAAAAGTGAAACTCTTGAAGTAGGTTTATTCAAAATTCTTATGCAAACGAAAACAAGAAATATTCTTTCACATATTCTTAACTTTTAATTGCCGTCTGATGAGTCCAGTTTACACTAAGTTCTCATTTTTATTCTGAAACTAGGTGCTCTTTTTGAATAATCAAACCTACATCCTTGTTTGATTTCAGATTTCCTCTCTAAAGTCTGGTTCAGATTATTACACAATTAACTTTTTATAAAATTTTCCTTACTGAAGTAATTCTTTCGATCATGGATACTGCAGTGAACTACGGCTTTGTCATAAAAAATATTTATAATTCTCAGGAGAAAGATGAATTAGAGATTTTGTTGCATAGGTAGTACATGGAATTAATTTTTTTTTTTCGCATTAAAATTTATATTAATGTATCTACCAGAAGTAAAAGATGAAAAGGAAGGTGAGGAAAGAGTTTTAAATTAGGTTAATAAGTTTAAAAATAAGGAAGGAATCTATTATTTTGTATTTTCTATTATGCTATATTTCTTTATTATTTGTCGTTTATTTCAATTAGCTATTTTATTGCCTATTATTTTGTTTTTATTAATCAAATATACGTAACAATTGAGCCTTCATTATCTCTTCTATTGCTTGCTAAAATGTTCTTTCAATCATTTCTTCGCTACAAATTGTTGTAATGGTACACTGACAAATTCAATGGCACATCAGTATACTCTGAACTTATCCTCGATGTAACATTAACTTGCTGTGTTTGGACTCTTAAAGTTAGCGTATTTTTACTTAAGACATATGTTGAGATTTTTTTGATGATTCGAATGCATACGACAGACATAGTTTTTCGAAATATAGAAGAATTCAAAATTTCCCCTATAAGTTCATTCTTACTCAAACAATAAATGAAGCTTTGGATTCTAAAGATATAGCATAGGATTTTTCTAGATTTTAACACCTCTTGCATTAATGTTAACCAGTAATTTGGATCTTATTCCTTTGTTCGAAAGTAATCTCATCTAGTTGAATGATAAATTTTAAGAATAGCAGTAATTTCATCACTTTTAAAATTACTCACAATTTTTCCATTTCAGAGAACGTTCAGATTTGGAAGATGAGCTTGGTCGGATGTCTAATATCACGGTTGAACTGGAGAAAAAGATTACAGATCTAGAAAAATGCATTGAAAATCATATTGCCCAGGTAGAATTTCATCATGATTTCCCAACCATAAATTAAAGTAATAGTAATGATTACTGAGGGAAATTAAAGATTATAAGGTTTGATCATAATGCTGCAGAAGATTTTTCATGGTGAATTCATCTTTAGGGAGCAATCCTCAATGATGTTTTGGAACAATACAAACTGAGAGAGCGGGAAACATCACAGGCATTAGCTGATTCACAATTTGAAATAACCCGACTGATCGGTTAGTTTGTAATAATATAATTGAAGAATAGTTCATAATTTAATAATTTATTCGAGCAGTAATTTGATTCATATAAGCAGTTATCGGTTGTTCTGCAGATGAATTAATTAATTAATTGAATTTTATTTGAAGAATATAATATTTTATCGTTATTATACTAAATAATTTTTTTGTACTAGTTAAAGTGAATTAGTTAACTTATATTGTGCTCTCAAATGAGGGGATAACATTGGGGTAATAAAGAACTAAATGGCTGTTTATAAATCAGTAATGTTTGTTTGTAAGTTCCTAGTATAAATAAATCATTCAGAGTATTTCAGTTTCTGGTTTCACCTCCTTTTCTCTTTCCAGAAATCAATAATAGAATTAAATCAGAGCATGATGATGAGTTAAAACGTGTGTGCAATGAATATAAAGAAACAGAGAAGAAATTTATCATCCAAAAGAAAACGGAAATGGAGAGTTACAATGATACAATATTTGCCTTGCATAAAAATAAGGTAAAATTTTCTAAAAGCAGTAAAAAATTAAGGATTAATTAAATACAGCCACACCCTTAATTTCTATATTACTTAGCTTCCTTAAATTTATGTGGATCACATAACTTATAATTTCTTTTTATTAAGTTTCCTAGTCACCATTAGGGTATAAGAAGATTTTTGTTGTGAATCATATATCTTGGCTAATCAAATATCAAAAAGCTAAAGTACTTAGTATACATTGATACTTCCTGTAACAAACAGTAGAAAATGCTGTGAGTGAGTTGAGAAAATTAAAATGAATAACATTGAATCGATGAATTCAAAACAGACGACATATTAGGTTTAAGTCTAAAATTAATCAATCTGAATGAAAGCTGGAATACTTAAAAGAATTGACTTGAAGCTCAAATTTTAATCCAATCATGAACTTTTACCTCTAGCAAAACTTGGAGAAATCATTAACTGAAAGCGAAGAAAAAATGAAAGGACTTTCTTTGCGGTATGAAAATGTAACGTTTGAAAAGGAAAATTTGCTTACTCAGTTGGATGAAGAAAAAAGACGATACGAGAAAGAAACGATTTCATTGCGACAACAACTGGATGCTATTAAAAAACAATATGTTGAAGAAATTGCTGAGTGGGAAAAAATCCATGCTGAGGTTGGCCTTATTTTATTAAAAAGAAAGGATTAACAATTTGAAGTGTAGAATATGTTCATGAAAGGCAGAGGATAGTAGTATGCCATATGTTTGGTTTGCCAGCAGATTCTCTTTACGTTTTTGAATTTCTTCAGGAGCTCTCTTACCTTCTATGTTCTGGAGGATATAGAATAACCAAGACATTTTATATTTATGATACAATGAATTTTTGTTTTTCTGCTTAAGTTTGTGTTCAATATAGTAATTTCTAAAATTTTTGTGAAATAGTTTTTTCAGTTTGAAATGGTTACACACTGTTTTTCCGTTCATAGTTATTTCTTCCTTGTTAGGTAGAAAGTATATGTACTTATTTTTTTCATAGAAAGACAGTTCATACAATTTGAAAGTGTCGAAAATGGAGGCTAATATAAAAGCGTTGAATGATAAACTCCAACGAAGTGAAGAAGTGGAATCCAGTCTGAGGCGTAAAATGGTGGATTTAAATTTGCTTATTGATCGCGAAAAAGATACTGTCAAATTGACGCAGTCTGAAATAACCAAAAAAAAGTAATTTTTAAATAATTTAAATTGATTAGTAGGAAGTGACTGGACAAAATATTTACATTTTTGTATATCTTTCTTGATCTTGAAACTTTAAGAAGCAAAAATTATTCAGCGAAGAAATGAAGTTGGAACTAGAGAAATTTGATCAGGAACGTCAGATGTGGAATGAAAAAATAAAACTGAAAAATGAGGAACTTATGAAAGCACGTTGCAATATTGAAAGTTTACAAACAAAATGTTTGGGATTGGAAAAGACGCTTCAGTTTGTTGAAAGCCGCTTAGATAAAAGTAATCTATTATTTTCAATTCTTTTATATTACATAACTTACTAAGTAAAAATTAAGTAAATGATAAAATAATTTAAATGATTTGACAACTCTATAAGAAAGAGTAGTAAGTAAATAAATGCTTAATAAAAGACTTCGTATGTGTGTCAGTAAGTGATATGATGATAAGATCAGGCAGCATTTTTATATATTGGCCTCTTATAAACATTGTTATCACTTATTACTTTCACTGCTAACACAATATTCTCAAAAGACCGCTAATATTTCTTATCAACTCGTAAAATTCATTGTAAGATGGCGCTGGTTATTTGTTTAATTTTAAAGTATAATTTCTTAAGAAACACAAAATTTATCGACGACTGAAAATGAGTTGAAACAAATAGAAGATAGAATTGCATCACGCATGAATGAAGAAGCTATCCTCAAAAATAACCTTGCGGAAAATGAGCGAGAAAAGAATGATCTAAAAACAGAACGAGATAAATTGAAAGCTTCATTGCGAGAAACCTGCACTCAACTTGAAGGTGTAATTTTGATCCATTTTTTCAAAAATTGTTATAGCAGAAGAAAAAACTATTGAAAGGAGTATTGTAAATGCAACTTGTTATTGTAGTTTAAAAGACTGTACTTAATTTTTGTTCTTCCAAATAATTATCAGTTGATTGAATATTTATAATTATAATTGGCGAGAGTTTTTGTTTTTGATGTTGACAACAATTTCTCAAAACTTGTGAAGTTTTTAAAAGATTAATTCTAGAAACTTCTAATTTCCCTGCAAAAATTCGCATGTAATTTTCTAAACTCCATTTTCAGTTTTTTATCTCAGCATAAAAGTTTACAATTTATAATTTTTCACCTTTTTAGTTAATTCAGGAAAATTGTGCATTAATGACAGGCTGACTGGCATATCAGTTTGAATTGTAGTAAATTTTGTTTCATTTTTTGGTTGGATTTTTTAATCTATACCTTACAACACACTTTTACCCATTTATTCATATTTAATTCATTGTTTTCTTGCTGAAACTGATACAATAAATAGCAGTTCCTTTCAATAAGTTAAATTTGTTTATCTAACGGCTATGTGTCATTTTCTATATTTCCTGCAAAGTTTAATTTTTACATTTTAGAAATGAAAAGTAATGAAGAGATTTTACGAAAAGAGATTGCAATGATGGAAAGCAAATTGCGGGATGAGGAAAAACGAGCACAAAAATTATCAAATGACTTGAAACAGTTGGAGAATGAGGTAAAGGATTTTATATCAGATGTGATCAGATAATGAATGAGATGGTTACAGAAAATGATAATGTGCTTTATATCCAGAATATTTATACTGAATGTGATGCATTAAATTGTTATCCATTAAGTGACTTGTTTAATTTAAACAATTCTTTCCGAAGGAATTTCAGAATAAGGATCTTGAAGTGGTATTATCAGAGAAAACGAGCGATTTATCAACCTTGACAGTTCTGTTTAAACAATCTGAGAACATGCAAAAGCAAACGATAGAGGAATTGGAAAAGGAAAAACAAAAGGTTTTGAAAAAAATATATCCTAGACCGTTAGTATAAAAATTTTGAGGTTTCTATTAAAAGGAATTTCTAGCCTGATTATTTGCTTTAATAAGAAATATATTTGTAAGAAGCCACCATTTTTTAGCTTGGATTAAAAAAGAAAACTGAATGCAATATTAATATTTTCGTATCTGTTTACTTATGTATTTGGTTTTCCTTTAATTATGCTATTTATTCTCTCTTAGAATGAATTCATTTGTTCATCATCTTGTAATTTCAAATTTTTGACAGAACTGTAAAACTGAAGAAATAATAGCAGCTTTGCAAGCTGAAAATGGAAAGCTAACATGTGATCTAACCAATATTCGTAATGTTTTGGAGCAAAAAATAGCAACAAATCAACGAGTAATAGATGATATGATAGGGAATTATAAGGCTGCGGAAAAAGGTCGCATTGAGGCCATACGTCAAAAGGAAAGTATTGTTGACGAATTGAGTAATTTGAAGTAAGTCTTATTCATTTCCGTTATTTCATTTGTAATTCACTTAATCATGTCATTTAATTATCAAAAATTGAATTATGGATATTTAAATAATGGTGTTTGGAATGGGAAAATTCATTTTGTCCAAATTGAGAGCCCTTTCTTAACTTAAACTTTTCTGAAGAATTATGGTTTGACGTTAAAGACACATCCATTTATACTTTTCTGTAATTTTTTATTAAGTTCCGTGACAAGTAATTGAGAAAATTTTTGCATTCAATGGATAGATGAAACGGACTGGTTAACATTTAATTCGATACATTATACAAGAAGGCACATTATGTTTCTTTGGAATTCCTTTGAATTATTTAATTTTTATTTTATTCTGTGCAGAAATCTATTGGCTGCTGAAGATGCGAAACGAATAAACATTGAACAAAAGTTAGCAGAATCTGAAACGTTGCGAAAAGAGCTGGTGAAAAAGGTGGTACATTTTGAAAATAGCGCTAGAAAAGCATTGAGTTTTACAAGTAAGTTAATTTCCAACATATATTATAAGGCGTTTTCAGTAACTTAGCAGAATGTTATTCAGCTTTATTTTAAATTTTTTAAAAAAATTTCTTGACAATCGTAAAATTTTTTGGTGATTGATTTGAGATCTTGTTGCACTATCAGAAATTAATTGATATATTTAATTCTTTTTTTCCTCTTTTTTGCAGAAGCTCGTAAGCTGTCGCAGTTTCGATCATGTGTTTTGGAAATGGATGGAAAAATAAGTCAAGATGTTTCTCAATCAGGTAATTCATAAATATCAATAGAGCGCATATCAAATATAAATTACTAATGTTGAAAGGTTTAGCCTTATGGCAATTTATCTGATTCATACAGCTTCGCTCGTTTTATTTATAGGTGCTGTATCAGTGTTTATTTGAAATTGTAGTATATCAGATTATATTATTCAACACTATAGTAACAACAGCAAATGTTAATTGCTTTAAATTTTCTCCCGATTTCAAATCAGGAATTTTTAATTCTATGTACTAAGAAGCACTAGAACTGGAATAAGTTGCTTCTGAATAAAATTATCGCTTTATAAAATGATGTTTTGATGAAATTCAAACAGATAAAATTAATTTTGGAGTGTTTAGGTAATGGTTCTCTACGTCGTAGCAGTTCAGTATCTCCTTCTCCTCACGTACGTTTTGATTTAAATTCTGATGCCGAATCGATTAGTCCCGAAAGCTTAAATATAAGTTCATCTGTTGAAATAACATTTCGACACTTGAAGGATCGCATTGACGAGCTTGAACAAGCCAGGGTATTAATTATAATTGCTTATGTATTATCCATGCTTTTAAAGTTTTATGCTTTTACGTTTTAATTAAAATTTTTTACACTGCTAGCAAACCTTTTTTTTTATACTCAAACTTTATAGTTTATGTTTCTATTATTTTTTTTTTCCAAAAAGAAGATGGCTAAATGAATAAGTAGAGCTTAATTATCCTGCTGCAGGCTAATGAATCAACCACATTTATTCGTTTGAAAGCTGATAGAGAACGAGTGTTAGATGAGAACAGGAAGTATCTAGATAAAATTCATTTGTTGGAACGAAAATTAATCGAGCTCGAAGAAGGTAAACTTATATGATCTTGTGAATTTTCAGTTAAAGAAAAAAGTGCGGTTTTATGTGATTATAAAAGTAGGAATAAATGTGATTTCTACATTAATGAAATTTATATTCAAGCGAATTTCAAAAATTTTTAGATAAACGGCACTTGGAATCACGTCTTTCAAGTTCACGGCAGATGTTGGTATCACAGGAAGAAAGTCTTCGTGCCAAAGAAACTGAACGAAAAGCATTGAAAACTCGCGTAATGAGCGCTGATCTTCATGTTCGTGATAAAGAAGCTCGTCTTACTTCTTTAAATGTTAGTTACTTAGGAGAAGTTTTATCGGAAGTCTTGATTAGTTCCCAATATGTTAAGGTCGTAAACCGAGCCACATGGAGATATAGATATCACGCAACTTTTTCAAATTACTGCCAATTATCCAAACATTGATTTATAATGGTATTTACAATACCAATTTTGAGTTTCAGTAACGAGGATTTATGTTACAGTGTAGGAATGTTTAGGAACAGGTAACAGCTTTGAAAAGCAAAATATCAGCAATGGAAAATGATCACAAAAAAATGGAGGAATCCCGAATGATGTGGGAAGAAGAACGATTGTTATATGAGTCGGCTTGTAAAGATGCGGAGAAGAAGGTGGAGCAGTACTGGGCAGATATGAAATCAGTAATTTCGACAAAAGAAGTATCGTTTATGTTATTAGATATATCAGAGAGTGATAAGGAGCTGGATTAAGCAATAGGACGTAGATGAATCTTTTACTCTAATAGTATCTAGAAAGAATATAAATTAACAAAAAATGAAATAAAATTTAAAAGTTGGTCCATAGAACCTGGAAGAACGTTTGAATGAGACGGAACAATTGCTTTCAAAAACACGACAACAATGTGGTGAATTGGAAAAAGCGAACAGGGAATATAGAAATATGTTTAAACAAGGAAAGGTAAAGTACTCATCATTTTTTTTTTAATTCCTGAATACTTTTTTGTTTAGATAGCAAAAAAGTGGCTTGCATTAATACAATTTAAAAAGCTTTAGTAATCGCGTATTCACTTTAAAATATTAAATAAAATGATTTGCAATTCTGGATTAACTCACTTAAATTCGAAATAAGTAATTTAATATAATTAAGGCAGATGAAGGATTGGGGGAAGATCGACGAAATCAGGAGGATCATGCAAAGATCGGTGACTCGGATTTATTGTCAAAATTAAGTATATTACAGCATGAATATGACAGCTGTCTGCTTCGGTTACAAGCGAGTGACTTAGGAAGACAGTCTCTTAAGTATGTTTTCAAAACTTACTGAATGATTTGAGATATATTTTACTTAGATATAGCTCTTTCAAGTATATAAATTTTGGTATCTTAAAAATTTTTACTATATTTTATCGTTAGTAATAATCTCATTTATGTATTAGAAATGACCTGAATGAAGCAAGAAATCGGCAAAAAGAGACATCTCACAGAATTGCCAACATGCAACATAAACTGGAAGAGATTCTTGAGGAAAAGAACCGTTTGCAGCAGCGTCTTTATATCATGGAAAAGGTTTCCTTTTTTATTCCTAAAAATTCCATCCATTGTTTCTTTGGTTTAATATCAATTACTTCATTTTATAAAAAAGACGAAAATTTTATTACTTCTTTGTAATATTCTTTGCAACTTACCAGAAGCCTCCCCCACATCATGATGAACTTTTAAAATAGAATTTATGTTTAAAACACTGAAACAAAGTACGTTTTTGTATGTTATGTAAGCCTTTAATTTTTTTTTCTTGTATTTTTAGTTATAAAATAGAAAAAAAAAATTGTTATTTAAGCGAGAGAAAGATGATCAAGCGATAGGAAAAGATATACACAAGGAGTTGGAAAAATTGCGAGCTGAGAAAATTGTACTTCTTGCGGAGAATGAAGAATTGAAAAGACGTTTAAGCAGAGTTGAGGTGGAGCATCGGGAATTTGATGCTTGTCGTGCACGTCTTGAAAGAGAACGTTTGGCCTTGAAGCGAAACATTGAAACGGTAAATTTGATTGTCGAGAAAAGGAGAGGAACATTCCATATTTTCGGATCACTGTCTAATTTAGTTCATGGATTGACTTATTGGGTTTGCAAGTCTGTAGTAGATCACTTGTGACTAAAAGTCCATTAAATTATTAAGGCTTCATTTTTCTCAGATATCTGTTTCTGCTTGATTTCTGTCACTAAAAGTGCAATAAACTTAACATTATACCACAGCGTATTGAAATGTGCAATGAGGATCTCTTTTTTTTTTTTTTTTTTTTTTTTTCATTTTTAAGATATACATATTTATAAACTTAGTATTTCGTTTTTTCTTTTACCTGTTATTTCATTATCCCTCATTAAATGTTACTAAATATTACTAAATGGAAGTGTTAATTTTGAAAAGCTTTTCCAAAGTGACATAATTATTCGAGATAGTTTAACTTTTCTTAGTTTTGATTGTACACATTAGAAACAAAAACTTTTGGATGTGGTAGATTTTTTTTTTTTTCAACTTATTATATATATATATATTTTATAAGGAAAAAGAAAGTGAAGTTTTTTTCAGTTAGAAGTGGAAAAACAAAGGACTGATGCAGCAATGCGTCAAATAACATCAGAACGTCAGGCACTGGACAAATCGTTAACAACAATGGAAAAGGAGAATATGGAATTATACAGGAATTGCACACAGCTGCAAAATCAGGTTAACTTGTTCGGCTGCAAGTTCATTTACTGTCAAATCCATTAATTTTCTGATTTAAATTCAATAAAGAATTATTATTTCAAATTATACTGAGCTCAATTTTATATCTAAAGTTAGGGTCCTGAAAAATTTTAACTCGGTGCTCCAACACTTAGCAAATGAAATCACTGAAAAGTCTGAATCTGAAATGCCACTATTTTTTTAGGTTGTTCAATTAGAAAAAGAAAACAGTTCACATTTGGTTAAAGAATCTGCAACACAGTTAAGAGCATTGGAAAATAAGCTGATACAAGCTCAGCGTGAAAGGCAACAAGTAATGACTTTTTGGCTTTCAGTATTCCTGTATTTATAAATTTATTTTGTATTACAAAAGGTTTGTTGACTCAATCAAAATTTTCATACCTTATTTATCGATTAATTAAAATCAGTTTTGTCGGAGAATTTTTAATTGCTCTTAAGTATCACTCAGATGTCTAAATTAATTTAAACTGTAGATGAAAAATTAATGAGTGTGAATATATGAGGAACTTGTTTTTACTTGATATTTAAGGTTCCCGCTTATGTTTACTCAGAATAGTAGATACCAGGCAAAGTAATAATTTCTCCCATCTTATTGTCTTTCGCTTTTAATATGAAAATTCCAATCAGTTTTTTTTTTTTTTTTTTTTAGATTGAACAACTTCTTGAGCAGCGAGAATTAGCATATGCACAGAAGATTAAGCTGTTCGAGTCAAAAATAGTAGTACTTAAAGAGCAATTGGATACGGAGCGGAAAAGGCGGTTGGAGGTCATGGAACGAACAGCGGTTGTTCAGCGAAATCAACTAGAATTAAGGTCAGACTTGGATGATTCTGTTTCATCAGTACACCGGCTTTCACTTCACCTTCCAGAACGTTACGAGCTACCTACTGAAGCACGAATTCGAGCACATAGTTTTAGCAATAACTCTTTCACATACTGAAACTTGAAAATTATCACGAAAAAAAATCATTATCTAAAGTTTCTCCTGTTTACTTACTTACATCGTTGATTTTTGGGAACTTCCTAGTTGCAAGTCCTTTTTGCTTATCTTTGACAAAATTTCTGCCACACGCTAAAGGTTGACAGCTTGCCTATTGGCTCTGTATTTTACTTCATGCATGCATGCTGAATGGATTTATAACTTAGAATTTTCCAGAGATGGATAATAAAATTTTAGTACTGATTCCCTGCTAAAATTCATTTCTATTGAACGAAATCTTTTCATACTTTTTGCACATTTTGTAATTTAAGTGTTTAATCAATCCATTTCACTGTACAAAATATTGAAAGTAACACATATTTTTCCAGAGATCAATTTTGTGCGTGAAATAGCAGTTTTCCCTCTTAGTTTCTGCCCTATTCAGGAGTGAGTTAAGTGAATTAGGAATTCTTTTCGGGTCTTAATGAGTTTTGCTTAAATTAGCCAATATTTCTCATACAGTTAGGACACGGTGTTATTAAGCAAAATTATGATTTTTGGATTAGAGGACCAAATTGATTCTAGAATCAATAGATGGCTGTTACAAAGATTGACTCTCTTTTTAGAATATTTTATCAGAATAAAAAATTTCCTTGTACGGTACAGCAAGTTTCAGACTGTATCGACAAATTAGACGGAATGAAACAAGTGCCTCAAAGAATTAGAGCAAAAAATGAAATCACTGTTATGGTAAACTGATTTCTTCCTTCTTATAGTACATTTGCAGTCTATTTATGCAAAAAGGAAGTATGAATTTGTTCTAACTATGGTTTAACTTTTTAAAGGTTGTAAGTTAAGATCAATACATTTCACGTTTTCTTTGTAAGTAGGACTTTAATACGTGATTTGAATCTAATATTTACCAGTAGAATCATTAAAAGAATAGGAAATAATTATAATTTGAAGGAAATATGATGTTGCTATTGCTAATGCATTAAAATATATGGAATGGTAAAAGTAGATTTTCATGTCTGACTGCCAGATGATCATAATTTGACCTTTCTATATAAGTAATTATTTTCAACTTACAGCTTAAAATGCTTACATGCTTTACAAAACTTTCATTTAGTTCATCTGGATTTTTTTTTCTTTTATTTTCAAAATTCTTTGGAATGATTTGGCTTTCAGTTGTGTCTTATTAGAATACGCGCAAATGCATCCGCTTATGATTTGTCTATTTTGTGCATGAAAATTGTTTGCTTTCCAATAACTTTATCAATTTCTAGTCAGTAGGTCAGCAACTTATCAACGTTTCATTTTTAGTTAGGCTACAGCTAACTTTTTTGGAGTTGTCCCAGCAGGTGCTATTTATTGTTAGTCGGAGAATACAATAGCATAGTAACAATTCCATTCGACATGTTGTTGTCAGATCCTAGAAGTCCAACAACTATTGTCATTGGGCATTGCAATTGATCATTTCAAAAAATTCTATTTTGGACGGTTTTCTGAAATTTGTTTTTGAAAAAGTAATTGATATGAAAAGTTAATCCTAGGGTTTGTAAACTACAACGATGGCAATATTCTACGACATCGACCTGTACCGCTGTTTAGACAATATTTATATGGCAATTCATCCTAAGATCTCTTTAAAAATAATGCTTTAAATCCTTTGATTTATTATCACTATTGGTTTGTTATATATTTATTTGTTGTCAGTATCTGTGTATCGCATATGCATTGTATTTTATTTCGGACTAAGTTCTGAGTTTGGAAGTGATCTTGGAAGAACTTGAAAATCATGTCTCTCGTTGTGTGTTTCGAATGTAAAGATATCTTCCCTTATTTTTGGAAGTGGTATTCAACTATCCCTGCTTTCTTTAATTAATGTTTGAAAGTTTTCCTGGAACAATTAATGATGATTCGTTTTAGTTTTAAAGAAGGCTTAGACATGGGTTCTACACTATTTTGTTTTCATGTTTTTGAGAACTTGTTCAATATGGTTTATATAGAATTTTGTTTTAAAAAATTCAAGCTTGAAATTCCTAAGATTTGATTAAAGTTTAGTTGTTTTTGTGATAAATTGAAATTAAAATTTATTTTTTGATCCTTTGCTTAAGCAAAATATTCTGTTTATCGTGTGTGTGTTTATGTGATATATAAGAGATGGATATATGATCTATCTGCCAAAAGTATTCCTGCCAAATGTACACTTATGACGCATTTATCTATGGATCTCTTGTGATTATAGTTCGTATTTATTTGTTTGGTCACATACTTCCTTATCTCTTTTTATTGTTTACTATGTTAATTGTTTATCGGTGAAACCATACAATGCAAATATGCAAATAAATGTTTTTCATATAGATTTATTCAAGTTTGTTTTCTAAAATGGAGTACACTGGTTTTATTCTGTCACCTAACTTTATGAAATGATATTAGAAATCATCAGATAGACAGGAATTTTCGAAAACATACATCTACATTAATATACTTAATATGCAGTAGAAAGTGAAGCAAATGGTATCATATGTAGTTGAAATTTTCAAACGGTCAAAAGATTTGAGTAAATTTTGAGTAGTTTTTTAAAAAATCTGTTCCTTGTAGTGAAAAAGGAGTCATTAGAAATCTTTTTTTTTTCTCTCTCTCTCTCTCTCTCTCTCTCAAAAGAATTCGTATTTCTCCTAATTTCAGCTTGACTTTATACAAATTTTAAAATAACTAGGTAGAAGGAGAAAGAAATACAAGAAATTAGCATGAAATGAAGTCATTTTCAATGGAACTTTTTGACATTTTCAAAAATGCTCATTTTGTATGTAAAATTCGGCCAGTACAAGTAGTGAATGTTGTTGACACAGCCAGCACATTTCATGCATTCTATAAATTATTTATTTTTTAACTCATTAAATTATTCAGCGCAAAAAAAAAAATTTTCATAATTTCTGTATAGGAACCTCCCATCGTTCTTTTCAGATTTAAATTTCTAGGGAATATTGAATTGAAGTTGAACTAAAAACACTTACAAAATGATTTCGGTAATGTCTATTAAATGTATCCTGACATTTAAGCATATCATCAATAAGAAAGATAAGGAAGAGTGATTAGATGTTTGGATTGATAAAATGATCTTTAATAGCTTATTGGTCTTTATTGTCATAGTTTTTCTATGATTACTCTTCCAAATACTTTTAAGAAAGATTAATTTTAAAATTTGCAACTTATATTCTTCACATTATGCGATAGCAATAAATCTTTCTGATTTGTTTGATTCATTTCAGTTAAGAAATGCTCGCTTTCAATATTTAATTTAATTTAACAATGTATTGTAAACTATGTAAAAATGTTATTTAAAAACATTTATAATGGTATTGGGCTAACCTGATGGAAAATAATAGATTCTGAAATCTATAAAGCAACTGCTGGATTTATTATATTTTAGTAGAATAGCCTCATTTATGTATCATTTCCTGGCTTTATTAACATGCTTCATGAAACTTGTTTTTTCCAATATTCAACACATTTTCTTGTAAATTTTCTTCATCAAAGACGGAGTTTCATGAGAATATTAAAAGTTTGAAATTGGTCGATGTTGTTGAATTTTATGAAGTTATACAGAGCCCATAATTATATTTAATTAATGCGACTCAGTGTTATGTTATACACATTCCATTGAAGAAGAGATATAACGTTTGCGCATAATGGCCGTGGTGATTAGGTGTCTCTGAAGCTATAAGTACTCGAGTGAATTGTTTACAGCTTTCCGTCAATTGTGTCGTACTTTTTTGCTGCTTGTCTTATGTGTTTATTTTTTTTTGCGTTTTATTCACTGATTTATTAATTCAATTTTTGCTTAATGGAGAATGAAACATATGTTTTAGTGAAGTGAAAAGTTTTTTGTAAATTTTATGTTTATCTATATTCGTAAAGAATTTCAAATTCTATTTTTCAAAAAATTATTTTCAGATAAATACTGTTCGAAGAAGCTTTTGTGGATTCAATAAGTGTTTTCTTTTTCGATCGCACATGTTTCCTGTACTGAATGTATATAATCAAACGCGATATGCACAATTTATTTGCTTTATTTCTAATTCTTATTGCATCAGAATCAGTGGCCAAAGTTAAAGATGTAAGTCATTCTTACATCAGTACATCTGGATAATGTTGAAACTTTTACTTAACGGTATATCAAAATATCAAAATGCACTATAATTCTTGATGAGAAGCGGTATAGTTTCTTTCAGGTTACATTTCAGTAGATTATGTTGTGCATATTGAGGCGCTGGCATTTTTCTTTTGATACCTTATACAAAACCTTTACACAAGAGAATTGGACTTATTAGAGTTAATTTATTAACAATTTAGTTAATGAGATTGATGGACAGAAAGTATTGTAATTTTTTAGAGTTGAATTTGAAGTTGCAAAGATCGAATAATCCTTAGTGGTTGTTCCTCTATCCTAGCAGAGTTATTTTGGGAATTGAGTATGCTTTAAAAAAAAGGCACCGAAATATGAATTTAATTGTTAGATCTAAAAGTGCTAGCCAAGTATTCAAAACAGTCGAACCGGCGAAGTGTCAAAGTTAAATAGTTAGTTTATTAGAAAATAGTTAGTTTATTATGACAAGAAATACCTATAGAAAATAAGTGAGAAAAAGTATGTTTTCTTTGGGAATGATTTAGGTTTGTCATAATAATAGAAAATGATAATTTGTGATCAATTTGTTTTAAATTTAGTGTTATTCCATAGAATCGGAAAGCACAGTTATCAAAATATTTATCTAAATAAAACTGCAGACGGAGACTTTGGAGCAATGAAAAGACATGATTGATGAAAGAAAAAATCTGTAGATTGTTGACCAAGTTATTGAAACTGATGTACTAGTTCCACTTTCTTTTTTTTTTTTTCTTTTTGCATTGCACTGGATAAAACAAGAAGTTGCATATGTCTCTAATACTCTGAGAGTGTAACATAGCATATTGAAATGGCCAATGAAATTTAGTCATGTAAACACAAATTGTTTATACTGCAGACAGTAGTTCTATACAGTTGCAAGTTAGCTAAGTTGGGTTTGCTGAAATCAGAGCAGTCACTTCTATTGAATTTCATGTATATTCTTTTTTACTTGACCATATAGAAATCGTTACACTTATTTTAGGATAATGTTTATTCAAAGAAAGGAAGAAGGATTTTGGGCCAGTTTCTAAATAATAGAGTTTTGTCTAATATTTGATATTCAGTAACGACATATGTGAGAAATAACTTTTTTTTTCATAATGAAACATTTTTAGATTGTCCAGTCTCATTCATCTACTGTCGTTGGTGGAACATTGCTGGTATCTACTATTGATGGTTATCTCAAAGGAATTGACTTTCATAGCGGGGAAGTCAAATGGTCTTTGAAGGAAGGTAAGTTAGTCTCTGTTTCTCGATAATATTGGTATTTTAGAAAGAACTGATTCTAATGTCTGAAGAAAATTGATTGAATGAAAATTTTGGGAAGGACTGATTTTAACGTGATGATTATAACATCCAGATGATGAGGTTATCTTTTTTGTTTTTTGTTAATTCCGATAGATGAGAATATATGATTTGAAGTGTTAGATGCATAAGGATTATAAAAAAATAAATTATGAAAAAAAAAAAGTTTTACCAACAGTTCAATGAAATATATCGAATGGCATTTTTCGTCAATTTGGGTAAAGTTTTAGATCCAGTACTAATATCTCCAAAAACCATTCGACATGGTTTCACCTTTATACCAGATCCGCAAGATGGTGGTTTATATATATTGAAAGATGGCCAGTTAAAGAAGTTGCCATATTCCATTCCACAGCTTGTTGCTGCTTCACCTTGTCGAACTATGGATGGTGTTCTTTATGCAGGTTAAAAAAATCAATGGTTTGAAAATTTGCCTATTGTTCGTATTGTGGCTTTAAGCGAAAATTTGGATCGAAACGAATATTTTTGTGTACGGTGTTATTTGAGTAATCTTTTATGCTTGATAACAACTGGTATTCATTTTACAGGAAGCAAGAAAGATGTGTGGTTGGAGATTGATTCAACTAAAGGAATAAAATTGGGGGAGTTGTCGCAATCGCAAACAAATTCCCAGTGCCCGCTTAATAAAAATACCAGTATTTTGATTGGAAGGTTGAATATTCATTCATTAAATCTTTTCATGTATATCACTAAATGTTGCTTCTCACTGGACAATATTTTTAACTGTGTTTAAATAAATCTTTGAACTGAGCTTGTAAAATAACGGTTGAAAATAACATCGTATTTAGTAAGGTAGACAAATCAGTCGATTCTGGAATTCTTCCTTTTTAGATCAGAATACAAATTAACAATGGTAGATCCAGAAAATCGAGATAGACGATGGAATGCAACGTATACCGATTATTCAAATCATCTCTTGCCTGGTTAGTTATGAAATTATAAGCATAATATATAAATACATCTTCGTAATTCCTTTTAACATTGGGGTTTACACGAGTGATAAAATAAGTGAATGCAGTTATTAGTAATCATACTGGTAGAGTTCGATATAATGTGAAATAATTTATAAATTACTCTGTAATTTATAAAAACTTTAATCTATACAAAGCAACCAGCAAAGAATTGTTGGTTATCTTTAGCTGACCCTTCATATCCGTTTCAACACTTTACGAGTACTGTGGGTGGTCGACTGCTAGCAGTGAATGCAGCAGAAGGAAGTGTAGCTTGGGAGTTGGATGTAGGAAATACTGTGGTTGCAATGTATATACTTCAAAACGATGGCTTACATAGATTACCATATACAGTTATTGGCAAGGAAACATTGGAGGAGTTTGTAAAGGTAATACATTCAATAATATGTGAGATAAATTTCATGATATAGAAAAAATGAAGTTTTTTAATAAATAAACAACAGAAATTTTATTAGGCTAATGTTAGTGCAGTTAAAATCTTAAATGTTAGTTTGAACGAAATTTCACGTGACAGTAATGATATCAAGTATACTATGAAATTTGATAATCAACAATCAGAAAGTTTTGAGTCCAGGTTGAATTTTTTCAGACTTTGCTGTTTTCTTAAAATGCTACGACCTTATCTTCTATATACTAACTAATAGGGATTAATACTATGAAACATATATTTTTCCTTTACTCTTCGTTTTCCTTTCTTTCCACTTTTATCTCCTTCTCCTCGACCTCGTATTTCTTTTCTATTTACTGTACTTTAAAACTAATGACTGTAGAATTTTTATTTGTGCATTTTTAGTTCTGGAACATTATAAACAATAACAGCTATATGTGAAAGTTTCCTCAGGGAAACATTCAAATCTTTCTTTCTTCATTTTCCTTCTTTTTTGCATGTCTGGTTTACATATTTCTTATGTTAGCTTTATTTTTGCAGCTTTACTTGTAGTATATAGTTTATTATTAAAGTATTTTTTTTTAAAAAAAGGAAAATTTTGGAGAAAAGATTTTAAGAATCTGTTTTCTGGATCAAGAAAGTCATATTGATGCTGTTTTGATTTTATGGTTGGCATTTTTATTCTTATATTCATTATTGCTATTTAATGAGTGGACTACATTTATTTGGAATTATATTTTTAATTAATTTAATCGTAGGCTGTCATCATTTATGTTATGAGGAACACGATACATTCTCACCATTTCATCTTTTTCTGGTATCATTTTCTTGATATTTGCCTGTTTTTCCACCACTTTTCTGCCAAATTTGCCATTCTGTTGTCAGTCATTTTTGTCACCACTACTACGTTCCCAACTTTCGTTTTCTTGTTTTTCTTCCGTAATTTCTTCCTCATCACTTTCATTCATTTCATCATCTTCATCTTCCTCTTCATAATCGGCTTCATTATATCCAGGTACTTGGAAATATAACCCAGAGTTCTCTTTTCTCCTGACCATATAACCATGCTCTGGGCATAATGCGTTCATTAACTGAAATGATGAATTCGTAGTACAAGAATTTCAAGCTATTCCGTGTTTGCCCTTAGTTATTTGAAACTGTTGATCTATTAGTGCATAATATGTCACCTGAAGCTCTTATATCCAGATTGTTTTTACTATTATTTTTTTGCGTTTTGCTACCTGACACTAACGGATGGAAACAGGCTCTGTTATCCTTAAATTAAAAAGAAAAAAGTCTTGGCTAACTTGGATCTTCCCGTTTTCATAAATACATTCGCATGGTAAATCGACACCAGGCGGAAGATACTTGGATTTCTTATGTGATAGGCTGGCCTCATCTTCCATCAGTTCTTGTTCATTTTGGCCTGATAATACACATAGTTAGATGTATTGACTACTAATTGGTAGTACTGATTACATTTGCTACATCAATTTACATTTGGATTGTTTTGCTTGATAATACATTACTTCTTAATGATGGTGTAGAGATATGTAGCTTATCTGACGGTGTCCTCATTCTGATTACTTTCGTCCTGATGGACGAAACTGTTGAAAATGATGTTGATAGAGATCGTTTGACATATCTTGGATACACACTCGGCTGACATAATTTTCCAGTAGAAGAGCTGAAATTTGACTATTATAAGGAAAGTAATTGTTTCAGCGTAGTAAAACTAATATTCCCACATCATCGCAGTGATATTTGTCAGTTGAATAATGTCTTTAGAAATTTTTTTCTGGCTTACATCACAAGCCTTAAATTCAATTTGAGTTAGATTGTTTAATGTTTCCGCTATTATTTCTATAAACCGGAAATGCTTGTTCTCACATTTGATCCTTATCATTGTTTGAAAGCTTACCTTTCTTAGTTTCTTTTTATTTAACCTAAACAAACTTGCCTTTTCCGCTTTCTAACATATGCTTGCACTGTATATACAATTAAGGCAAGGATTTCCATTAAACTGACCACGGATGCACCTATCCAAAGGCCTGTGAGACCACCCAAATCAGCTAAAGCACTTGTAAGCTGAAAAGTCAATAGTGTATGGTGCTCTCGTTTATTTTAGTGGACATTTTTGTTTGGTTCCGAAATAACTCAGAAATTAATGGATAATGGTTACTTATTTATGGTAAGCAAACTTACAGTGTAAGCAGGTGTTTCGGTAAGTGTTTCATAGTTCAACTCTTCATAAAAAACTTGAACCATTGCAGCATTTCTGCGATACCGCTCCATGCAGAGATCATCCACAGCATCACATTCCATGACTTTTGTTGTCCCAGAAGGCCATCGAGCGGCTGAGTATGTAACTTCATAGTTCACTTCCCTATTTATGGACGAAATTTTAAAGTTTTCAATTACAAAACGAAGATCGAGCTACTAACTTTAAATAATTTTGATTAAGGATTCGTGAATTTACTGTAAGGTCTAAGCTTTCCTATGGCACACCAGTTCCACCAAAAGGAGTAAAATTTTAATATTTAAACTTCTAAAGATACAATATTTTTTGTTAAGAGATACAGAGGTGTTTCAGTACAGAAAGCAATTTCTTTCAACACAGTTAGGCTGCATCTTATCCTAGACTATCGGTTATAAGCTTAGAACATTCATTTGTTCATCATTAATGGCCTTTTAAGCAACAGATCGATTTTTTCGAAAAATTACTTACGAGCAAGGTTGGTGGCACACACAATCGGCTAGATTCCCTTCGCTAATTAGACGACTGGAATGTAGTGTAGCATTTTTAATGCATTCCCGAGCAATGTGATCACTAACTTTACATGATGTTGCTGTATTAGGTATCGGATAAGCGGGATTTGCGCAACCGCATATGCGATTAACCTCTTTTTGAGTACAAGTTCGATGACATCCCTAAAATTTCAAGAAAAAAGTGTCAAAATGTGTGCAAAAATTGGAGAATTTAATAACTGATTTCAGTTTTTACCTCAGTAGAATAATTGAATCCAGGATATATGGTATCCAGGTTGCCTTTGTTGTCTTCCAAACATTGACCATGTGGCGGGACAAGTCTGTTGAATTTTTTCTAAAAATATCCAATTGCAGTTAGAAATTTAAGTCACTTCTGAAAAATTCTAATCTTTCGGAACGGCAGAAAGAGCTCCACTTTTGTTAAAAATTTCAAAAAATCTCATCATTTGTTTTCTCAAATATTTCTAACATTATGACTAAAAGTTACGATGTACATGACTTACCATTCGGACTCCGAAGGAAGACAGGAAGCCAGTTGGTGCATTGTAGCCAAACGCATCTGGAAATGGTACCACCCACTTATCATGAACAGTTATCCGGAAACCCACGGATTCTGATGTTGGCAAGTATTCGGATGTATCGGCATAGAGTAATACACGCAGACCTATGGGGTTAGTACTCTTGAAACAGGTCGTTTAACATTTGTAGTGCTACGGTAATATGTTGGCAGTTTTATATGGTACAAGTTATTTATTCTATTTCTTTAATAGATTTCCTCAAAGCAGGAAGATTTTTGATAAAATTTTCGAGAGAATGGCGCCAGATGTAGTACTGAATTTCACTGATTATAAAAAATGAATGTAAAATGAATAGCAGGAATTTGTTTTTTTTTTTTTTTTTTTTTGAATTTCTGTTTTTTATAGCTAAATTTCTATTTTCATCGTTAAGGAGGGAAGTTAACCATACGTATTCCTTTCTGCAAATTAAGGTTTTTGTTTAGTACAGAAATCATGCCACTTTTACTAACATTTTAAGTGCTGGGGAAAAAAAATTCAATTTAATCTATTAAACTAAAATTATTTTCACTGTAATATACCAAAGTTAGCACCGGCCTGGTGAGCTGTTACTTGTTTGGTACGATTCCAGTTGAATGTGTAGCAGTTGCCATATGTTTGGTCATAATGTAATTTAAAATCGCTGCAAACCATATATATGAAAAATTGAACTGGATAATCACTGACTATTTTACAAACGGTTTTACTGTAAGAAGTTGTACAAATTGGGGATGACTAGTAGTTCCAATGGATTAAAAATGAATTTCCTAGCTTAGAAATGACTTATGAAATCCTATTAACGTTGGTGAAATTTCGAAAATAAAAGATTATATCTCCAAACAGCTTTTTGTATAAATTTGTATTATAAGTCGAAATATCTTCACTTATTCATCCTTGATTTGCTTTTTATAATTTTCTGGAATTCTTTCGAAATTAACTCACTTTTCAATGTCGCAATCTTTTTGATTGAAAGAACATTTTAAGATGAGTTCATCTTTTTGTTGCGACATTTTTACTTTTGTTTCATAATTTAGTTCACCAACAGCAAACATCAAATTCTCTTTGGCTTGCTCTTTAATAGCTATTTCATCAGTCAGCCCCTAGAAAAGAATACTACATCAAATAGAAGGAAATAAAAAGATATCATGTCTTTCATTCTTCCTTTTTTCGTCCTGGATTGTTTTTCTTTAAATATGGCTTGAAATTTCGTTTTTTCAGTCAATCTCTTTTTAATTGAATGAATGTAACCAGTAAAGTTAAGTCTATCGAAGACAAACATTAAGATTCTAGACTATGATTGAAGAATTGAAATATCTGGATATTAAAGAAAAAACGAGGTTTCATTTTTTAGATTTCTTAAAAAACGATAAACCTCAAATCCTAGAGCCTTTTTAAGTTCTGCTGCTTGAGTAGTAGTAGTAGCAGCAGTGGTCGTAATAGTACGTGGTTTCGTCGGTCTGAAAAATTCCGAAATATTCAGTGCGAAAATATCCGTTGTTTGTTTGATTTCTAGGATATAACCATATTCATTGTTTGCAATACAATGATTATATTCGCGATGGCACAGACATTCCTTCCGTCTGGGATATTTTGTTTGTTCCTCACCGACTTTCCCTTCGAAAAATTTCATCGGGCAGTGACCCAGATTTTCGAGACATACTTTACATACTCGTTCATTCCATGTATTATCTGAATGTAGGCAAATGTTTTGAAATTTAAAGTCAGCAATATAATTGTTGATTAGTTTGTATAACAAAGAAATAAAGAAATATGGGAAAAAGCTAAAGACGGAAGATAGTCATAGGAAGTCAAGTTCAGAGCTGAGATTTTTTGTAAGAATATCCATTCCATGGTATGAATAATAATGAAAAGAACTAAGCGACAAGAAATTCTGAAAACAGAAGTGGAATTTTTTGTTTAAACTACATTTTTTGTGTTATTCAGGTAAATTTAACGAATTTTCATTATTTGTAACGGGCTTAATGATGAAATAATTGGATTATATTCGATTTCCCTTATACATAGTTACTGTGAAGGATTATATCATATGTATTAAACAAGCTTAAAGTTATTCTTAGATTAATTATACTGAGAAAATCAGAAAAAGTATATGTTAATATATACTAGAATTAAAAGTATGTGGTAATATATTTCCAATAGTTGCAAATCATAAGCCGAAATAAATATTAAACAACAAATTGACTAAAGTAAACCATAGTTAAGGTGAAAGGAGTGAGTAAGAATAAAAATGAAATAAGCAAAAACTTACGTGGGAAGCATGGCCAAAGAGTTTTGGATACCCAATCCAACTGACAAATACATTTACTGGGATAAAACCGTGCCAGAACATCAGTGAATTGGATCGAAATATTTCCTTTATATGCAGCAAAACAGCTTCCTTTTTTTCTTTCACCAGTTACTGAATTAATTTCACACAGACATTGGACGTAGACCTGGTGATATCGCCGATTTGAGACTAAGGAAGCTCTGGTTCGTCGCGATTTTGCAGCTGAAAAAAAAAAAATGGATTTTGCAGAAACTTCTGGATTAATTACATTTATTTTTTTTGATGAATGAGCTAGCCCGTTCTTTTTTTATTTTTTTTGCAACCTTCAGATTGTGCTTAACCAATAGTAATGGAAAGAGAAATGAGCAAAGTTGTGCAAATTGCAAATAAATAGAGTTCGTGGAAATTTCATTCTTTTTTAAACTCTAGTTTAAAATTATGTGTGTTTTGACCTGCGGGAAATAAATTGTTTCCGAAAAGTTAATTCAATGTGAATTCTCTAAATCACTTTCTAAAACAATTACTTCAGTAACCATTTTAGAACAAAATTTGTATTTCTCTTACAAATAATTAAAGGCGGCAATTAACTGAGGAAGATTAAGAGTCGGCAGTACTAATCATTTTACAGAATTTGTAGCTTTCTGAAAATTTAAGGAAAAAGACCAACTTCAATGTATGCATATCTTACCTTCTTTTCGAGCATTCTCAATTGCAGCAGAAATACCATATGATTCTAGATGATTTTGTGCGATTGAAAAAGCATCCATCTGAATAATAGGGCATGGTTTAAAAAAAAACTTTTAAATATTCGATGGTTGAGTGCGGTCGAAATTTCAAAAACCAAAGGTTTCAACCATTAGTAGATTCCGGAAATCAGAACAAAAATGATGACTAAGTTTGTAAAAAAGAGTGAAAAATACCATTGCTTTCGTAGGTCCTTCCTTAGCAATCATCGATGCTTTATAAGGATTTATATTGCATAGTGTTATCGAAGGAAATGGAGCATTTTCGAATTTGAGCTTAAATGCAAATTTAAACTACCATCTCGTTTTCACTTATTTTTTTATTTGCTATTGAAGGAGTTTTGAAATGGATTAAGAAAAGTTGCTCAGGCCCTCAAAAGAGACCAGTACATGTTATGAGCTAATGCAAATGACGAAGAGAAACTACCAATTTAAAAAAATTAATCGGACGAAAAATTGCATTGAATTTATCTTGACCTTCTATTATGAATTCTTTTAAAATTAGCATTTATTTTTAACTGAAATTTCAGTAAGTACTCATTTTCACTTTCTTTTCCTTGCTTCAGTCTTTCAAATATATTTGTATTTGCATTAAGATATTCTTTGTGATAGATAGGTAAAGTAATCGCTTACATCAAGATCAACCGTTTTGGGATAAGTTCGATATCGTCGTATAAGCAGAATGATTTGGATAAGGAGAGCGCAAAAGCAAATAATAAATGCAGTATACCAAATGATACGCCATTTAGTATTTGAAGCAAGAGCAGCATGCGATATGCCATGGAAGGTGCTCTGTCGCTCGAAACGAAGCACAATCTCTCGATAATTGAAGTGTCCCCGGACACGGATTTTCCCAAATCCTGAAAACTTTTTGTTGCTCTTTTTCTTCTTTTTCTGCTTCATCCAACCCACTTCGACCCTTCCTTGTTCCTAAAAAGAAGTGGAAAATAACATCAGGCTTTAATCTTCCAATAAGTTTAATTCATCGCTTTCGTTTTGTATTTCTCCATGATATGTGCTATTATGCCTTAGTATCTTTTTTTCTTAATTTTTGAAGATTTCCAGATAGGTCAGTCTTCGATATGGCGAAAATTTGATATTGTGACTTCTTTCCTAATTTACTATGGTTAAAATGTTCCCGAGCACATATGTTTGACGAACCTGTACAACATTTTGTGCCTATAAAGGTAACCTGTCTTAGAAGATCGTTGCACTGAATAAGTGACAGAAAATACAGATAATTTACCACTTGCTTGAGTATGAATCTATTTAAATGTTTATTTTATATCTGAATTAAAAAATAGTACTTGAATCTAAAAGGCAGTGGCACCGATTAAAATATATGATGTCTGTAGTGAAAATGATGGTATTAGTAATTACTGCAGTTGAAGTTAGATGTATTGGTGATAACAACGATAACAGTGATTATGATGATTTAATCGGTGATAAAAGTGGGAATATTCAAATAGATTTGTGATAAATAGGTGCAGTAAAGAAAGTTATAACAGTGTTCGCTGTCATACTGATATCTTACAGATTAGTTGCAGGAGCGGTCAAAGTGTTTTTTTTTTTCTTTAAATCCAAATGCAAAATAAGCAACTTAGGTAGAATATACATCAGGATATTTAATTAAGAATAATAAGCAATTACTGCCTTCTTATTTCAAGGTAATTGGTTAATGATGGTGATAATGATAATGGTGACTACTTGTTTTAACGTTCCATCTTTTATTTTGTGGTCTATGTCGAAATATATTATCAGTCATGAGTCAGTTAAAGTAATAGACGGATTTGAATGATTCTTATTTTATTAAACGAACTACTTCTGCGTTAAAAATCTCGTTGATACGACTACAATTTTTGTAGGTCATTAAATGAAAAGTTATTTGTTCATAGTCTATTTATCATTCATCCACCAAATGTACAATGTACTGCATAGCTAATACTTAAAGGATAAATAAATAGGTAGTAAATGAAATAAAGGTGCAATTATTTGAGCAAAATAGATGATGAATGGTGGTGCTAATGGTGAAAAATAGTCCAAGCAGGGTGTTGGAACACATACATACACACACACACACACACATGAACATAAGCATTACTGGATATGCTTTTCTTCATCCATTTGTTTTCACCTTCGACTAATTTTTTCGTAATTATTGCTTGGTTCACTTTTCTACTGATTGATTTGTTATTAGTGTTAAGAGACGTACTTTTTAATGCTATGAGGTAGTTCATCTCGCTCACCGGCATTAATACAATTTTTTCTTTTTTTTTTTTTTTTTTTTTTTGACGTTTTTTAAATTATCTGCCAATTGGCCAATAGCGACGCTGAGCTATTTACGAAAATGAACCTTCCGAAAGTTTCTTGTTTTTGAAATAGTTACTCTAATTAATTGCATATCATTCTATACAAAACATATCTTTCCATGATGTGATATACCCACTATTTTACATGGTTCCATAATTGATTTGAATCTTACAAGTTTGGAATTATTATGCGGGTCAATATTTTATATGCTATATAAATTTTTATTCACTTATATTCTTTAGCTATGAATTCTGTTTTTTCGGATCTCATTTTTTCTTTTTCTAATTGAATTTATCAAATTTTTTGATGCTACACTTCAAAATTAAACTCTTTAAAGCACGTTGAAAACATCAGAGTAGATTTTTGTATTGCATCGCGATGTTCTACCGTATTTTGCCGTTTGTAAGGTTTTTTTTTTTTTTTTTTTTTTTTTTTTTTTTTAGACCGAATGATATATCGAAGAGATATTCGTTACCGTTAATTTTTAGATATAGTTTCAATTAAAATTAAATTGGTCTTAATTTTTTTTATACCGAAAAATTAGTTAAAGTTTTTGTGCTCACTTTTAAATGCTGTGAATTAATATACCAACTAGTTACTTCATCACTTAATTTAAGTTACAAGACATTGAAAAAAAGACAGCATTTTGGATAAATGAATCAAAAATAAAATTCCAATAATGCACGAAAAATTATGTAATCTGGAAAAGTTGAAGTACTTTTTTAAAAAGCTTCGGGATGTGATAAGTTTCTTGATATCATCTGTGTTTTATATCTTGATATCGAGGCACTTTCAGGCTGGATCCTTTTACTTTTGCTATTTACTAAAATTGAAATCAAACTTAAAATAATATATATATTGTCTATAGATGACAGTTTCATTATCATCATTTACTTTCTTCAACATTAGCAGGTTGACATGATCTGCCCCTTTCCAATCATTATTGCTTCCAAAAACAAGTGTTTCGTTCTTTAAAATTTCTAAAATATTTCCTATAGTGAATGATGCGTTACTAACATACCGCTTCCTCTGGATATCCGTCGAAGATGATTCCAGGCCAATTCTTTATAAATGGATTTTGATCGTCCAATCTTAAAATTAGTACTCTCTCTTTGCTGTACCGTTGATGATTCCTGGAATGTAACTGTTGTTTGCTGCTATTTTCCTTTTAATTTGCATATTTTTGTTTAAAATCATCGCATGAGAGAAAATCTGATAGAAATACTTAGAACTTGTAAGCAATGATGACCGCGTCGTGTAAAACTCGGCAGATATGTTCACCAAGCAAACTGATAAGGCAGTGCTTTTCATACTGGTTAGTTAAACGACTCAAATCAGTGGACAAAAGAAATAATTTCGGGATCTTTCGTCAGTACTTGCTGGGGTACGATATCTTGCAGAGAGTTCTTATCAGAAATTGCACCGCGCTAAATGGCTTGGTTTGTCTACTATATATCATCATTTGTCAAAGATAATGGATAGATAACGGAGTTAGAGCACAAGAGCAAAGAAAAAGGAAGCAAAGTTGATATAGTGAAGAAAAAAAAACGAAGTGTGCTGATGGAACGTTTTTGAATCTGACAACTAGCACCTTATCAGAAACTTGAGAAATTCTGTCAGTAAACTTTCATAGGGAAAAAATTTTGATAAAGCTTTTAAATTTTACAACAGTGGAAAGGTAAAAATACTGCTTTTTCTGAACCTTATTTAAATTTTAATCAGAATCGTTTCTGTCCTTATGCATTATTGTTTATTTTCTTGATCAATTATCCTGTTCGTTTTACTAATTTGGTTTTGTTTACTTTTTGAACTTAGATTTTGTAAACTTTTCTACACTTAAAAAACTTTTAAACAAATTAAAATTTTTACTCATCGGCGACTTGAATTACTCAAGTATTCAACCAAGGGATCAGAAAATGAAAATCTTCTATTAACTCTCTCCATTTATTTAATCAGAGTAAATTAAGTTGGATAGGTTTTACTGCACTAACATTTCAAACACCCATCCATGTAAAGTTACTTGAGCATAAACTCATGCATATTGAAATGAAAACTTCCATTCACCAAACGATAATTGACGCTCACATATAGTTGTTTTTTGAAATTAGGCATTACATTTTATTTTGAACTATTGTTTAGTAATTAAAAGAGATTTTTATTTCTTTAGTAATTAAAATTGATGCCAATAAATAGAGAAAGCCGCTGAAAGAGAATTAGGATAGTAAGTGTTATATGCTTGGAAAAAACAAAACAAATTTGTAATGAGTGATAAATTAAATTGGTACAGACCTCCATTCTTGTCTAATTTACTTGATACTTGCGATACGATGGTTGCATTCCATGGAAATTGTAGTTCGTTGAAGAAAGAAATAAAATCTATACTTCTTAACCATGACCAGCAAGTTTTATAGGACAATAATTGGATAAATAAGATTCGCTGGACAATTAAAATAAAATGCAGCAATAGCAACAATATTACTGAAAATGGTAGAATTTGGTCATCTAATTCAATTGCAAAAAAGATGAATAGCACAGTATAGTAAGGTAATAATAGTGTTATCAGATTAGAGAACTGAACGAATCTAGCTCACAGTTTCTTTTTTTTATCACTACACAAGTAACAACTGGAGGAGCTTCAGACTGAAATGCACAGCAGAACTAATTACATTTGCTTAACACTCCTGGTGTTAACATTCCGCTGCTGTTTACATATTATCAGAGAGAAAAGAAGATAATATGATCCGCAAAGAACAGAGATAGTTGAAAAAAGATATCATTCAAATAATGTACAACTTTTCATAATTTTTTTTTTCTTCAGAACTTCCTGTTAAGCATATATTGACAACAAACATTTCATTTTCTATTTTTATAATTAAAATATTTCTATTTTAACCATGGATGACTTTAGGAAAAAAAAATGAATTGGCTTCATTTAAGCACAATGATTTGCTAGCTTATTTCCTAAAGCAGTCTAGGCTAGATACATTCTAAGTTTTTGGATCGAATTGTTTTTCTGAATAATGAGCAGTGTTTCTGGTGTCTCGTGTTGATGAATGTGTGATTTCTTGTAAATGATTTTTTAGAAATCTTTCTTATTTGTCTCTTTTTGTTTGCTTGTTTGTTTTTTGTTTTGCTTAAATTTTGGAGTTAAATTTGGTAGAATTTATATATTTAAAATTGTAAAACGCAATGAAGAACAATAGATCACTGAGCATGAAAATCTTGAGAGATGAAGAAATGATAATGTAGTTTTAGAAACACATAAATATATTACTATAATTTTTTTTCATTGTATGTTAAAGCAGAATTAGGGATATGAGGGTCTAACGGTTCGCTCTTTAGCTTTAATTAGAGTCTACAATCTTTCAAAACGGTGCGAAGATTCAGACAGAATTTCTATTAGCTTGATTGTTCATTTTGCTTTTAATTTTGATAATTAAATCAAAAGCTATTTGATAGCTGTTTGAAAAAGCTATCAGAAAATCCATGTTGTCAATTAACTGTATTAATTCCTATCATTCAACTTTCTCTCTAGAAATGAACTATAGCACAAAAAACGTTACTCAAAGAAGCAGAGTAATTCATTAGCTCACTAAGGAGAAATGAGATGAAATATTGGAGTGGCGTACTGAAGGAAAAGCTTCTGCAAATTAATCTGTTACGAAAATTGCTTTACTGCGAAATAAGTAGCGATATTCCAGCACTCAGCACAAAATGGGGTTCAAGCGTGGATCAATGATGTTTACCAAGCACGATCTGTGGAAGAGACTTCTCGAAGTCTTTTTCAGACGTTGTACGTTGGTGAAAACACGTACGGACTTTTTGCATTACCAGCTTTTATAGACAGTCGTACGATAACCGTAGTACCGAAGTATCTTGGTCCGCCACTGCTAGAAGGTCCATTACCCGTTGTAGTTGAGGTTTGCTGTATTCGAATTTAAATTTTGTTTAAAAATTGGAGGTTTATTTTTTGATCTTTCCAGAATTTGCAGCCTAAAGAAAGCCTAAAGAAAATGGGATTGTCAAGAAATGATCATTTTCGCTGCCATACAAAATAACTTTACCTTCCTTTTCAGAACGAAGATCCACAAACACAGATCAATCCATCGACTCATCGTGTTGCTTTGATCAATTTGGATATAGCAAAAATTACCCACAAGACTGTCGATGGAGAGTTTTTAGTGTTGGGTGCGTATTACATATCCAAAATTATTGAAAATGATAAAATTAGTAGGTTGAAATGTCTCAGTAACAAAATATTTTCGAATTTCATATTTTCTGAATTGGTCAGATTTATAAATTTTTTTAATTTTTTCATTTTTTTTAAATTTTTTCATTTTAAATTTTACTGTTTAATGTAATAACTATAAATTGCTGATTTTTTCTTTTTTCAGGCTATCACGAACCGCCTCAGTTGACTCAATCACAACTTATTCCACAGCGAATTATTCGTCATCAACGATATCCTTCCTTATCGTTCGTTACGACGGATATGCAAACCGAAGAAGTTTTATTTGTTTTCCATAAATTTAATAATATTGATGGCAAAAATGACATTGTCTATTCTCTTTTTTTTGAAATTTTTTTCTGTGCTGTTTCAAGTTCTATTATGAAGCGTCGCGTAAGCAAATTACCTGGGCTACAGTCCTTAAATATTTGAATTTTAGAAAAGTTGTATATATATAAACCACTGTTGAATATATATAAACCATTGTTTTATCTTAGTGTATTTAGATATCTGCTCAGACTGCAAAAAGCGATGAATACGCTTTGTGGAGGAATAATCACTTGGTTATAGTTATCGTTATTTCATTTACCACACTATTTGCCATTGCCTGCTGGTTCTTTATGGAGAAGGTTTGTTTGAAATTAACTTTTATAAGAAAACTTAACATCTCGAATGGACGTAACTTCAGGAGGCTGTATTGTATTTTAACAGGAAAGATCACCAGGATTAAAAGGAAGGGGAATTTCTCTATATACATATCTACAGATACTTCCAATATTAATGCTAAGCTATTGTATTAGTCTCTTTCTTTTATACTGTTTCTTTATGCAGTTTTTTTGCAGATCAAGTTTTGCTTTTTCACAAATTTTAACAAAAGCCATTTACAAGGTTTCTTTTCACTAGAGATTTCGTTTGTGTGTGTCATAGGATTCTCTCCACATTTTTATGACAACTGTAGATGTTATTTTATTAACGTATTTAATAATTGGTATGTTAAGGTTTTTTCATCACCAAATCTTTAGAACTATTCTGTTTCTTAGATTAACATCTATCCTTGTTCTGATATATGAGCGTCTTTTCTTCATAAGAATAGCAAGCAGCTGAATTTCTAACTTTTGCAGATGCACTTTTTTATGCATTGTTATTTTGAAAGCTGGTTGTATGGTCACTTTTGAAAATCTCAGGAAAACCTTTATTTCTAGCTTTAGTGTCCTACAAAATGCGAAAAATTGGTTTATTTCATTGTTTTGGTTATTTGTTTTCATAGGAATTGGGTTTTGATGCATTATATAACAGTTAATAAATAATGCTTGTAATCTATCTGAGATTTATTACTTCTCTTGTATCTTCCAAAACATAGGGAAAAATTAAAGTTGTTAATTTATGACAAATCTTTTCTTCTTTGTTGAAGGGAGGTCGCTGAGTGAACATGATCTATTATTTATGGATTTATTAGATTGTCAAAGCAAAGAAAAGCATAACAAACAGTAAAGTAAAAAAAAAATAAAAAAAGGCACCAGGAAAATTTTCTCACGGCAACGGGTAACAGTTTTCAAGAGATCGAGGTATGAGTGGTCTCTGCTTTTCTGTTTCTCCCAGATTATTTTATGTGTAAGAGCTTTGCTATTTACAGCTACGGAATTATGAACAGGAAAACTCGCCGGAACAGCGAACAAATTACGCACAAACATCGAAAAATTTTGGAAATTTTTTGTATGCGCGGCAATTACAGCGGCTACCCCATGGTTGGCTGCAAACTGGAAATATCATGTATAATCCAGAAGATCGTCTCGGACATGGATGTGAAGGAACTGTTGTATTCAGGTTAAAAGCCTTGTTCATTGAGTTTGTCTTGTGATTGAACCCAATTATCTGGCGGTTGTGTAACATATATGACATGTCAGAAATATCGAAGTTCATATATTCTTGACGTGTTATATGGATTTTGTAATCATGATTATGTGGACATCTTGGAGATGCTTCTAGTGCTTACCATTTTATTAATGGTCGGATCCTCTCATGGATCTCAAAAAAGAGTCTCATAAAGATGGCATAATATTTTTTAAGTTTTGAAATTTCACACATAACTCGAAGTTTGATTTACAGGGGTAAATTTGATGGTAGAGAAGTAGCTGTAAAACGAGTTATTGCGGATATTCGACTTGCAGACCGCGAAGTTGATCTTTTACGTGAAAGTGATGCCCATCGAAATGTTATCAGATATTTCTGTATGGTTGGTATAGTTTAAATCTCACTTCTGTCCTTTATTTCTTGTCTTAAAATCTTTGCTGCTTATCAACTATAGTTTCCCCCAATTCAAGCGCAAGTGTAAACCCGTAATCTTTAGGAATCTGATAGTAATTTTCGCTATATTGCACTGGAGTTATGTGATTACTCATTGTTTGACTACGTGGAAAGAAAGGAAATTCGAGAGCAGTGTCCTCTTATTCCGTTGGAAATTCTGCATCAAGCAACTGAAGGGCTTGCATATCTTCATAGTATAAATATAGGTCTACTTTTACTTTTTTCAAAAAAATTTCAAAATTCGACATATATCTTATCTATGGAAGTTTTTTAATACAAAATAAATTGTTTATCGACTCCTTTATTCCTTCCGTCTCATACACTTCTTAATATTATCTTTCTTGCTGAAACATTGACCGAACTGCCTGCCGTCTAGATGCAAACGGAATTCTGGAATTTTGTAATTATGATTTTTTGTAATTTTTTGTAGTGCATCGTGATATGAAACCGCAAAATGTACTCCTATCAAGAGGAACCAGGCAGGATTCAGTACGAGCGCTGATCTCAGATTTCGGTCTTTGTAAGAGACTTCAAGCAGGTCGTAATTCCTTATCACGGAAATCCGGTCTTATAGGCACTGATGGTTGGGTCGCACCAGAAGCTTTGATATCAGATGCAAGTATTGTAAGTATTTTGTTCAGTCTTTCTACTCATTGTTATTTATATTCCCCAGTGTTATGATATGCAATTTAATGGCAATTTTTGCTTCTGCATCGTACTGCAATGAAAAAGAGTTTTCGATTCGATTTGAGGTTTTTACATTGCATGTTAGTTTCGATGTAAAGTTGTAGGCGGCAAAAGCCAAATGTTTTAAATTAGTTTTCCTTGTTGACGCCTTTTATAATCAGCTTTTTTCGCCTTTTATAATCAGCTTTTTTCGAATTAAAACTTGCTACTCTTATGTTTCGTTCTTCAGTGATTTATCTTGCAAGAAGAATGATTTAAAATGCTAAACTTCATTTATATTTATCACATCTCTGGTACATGGCACTAGATTTATTTAAATAACATCAGACTGAAAAAAAATTAAACTGTACATAATATTCACCATGAACATTTTCAGATCTCCTGGAAAACCTTATTCCTTATTTCATTTATTCCTCAATTCTTATGATTTTTAGACTTGCGCTGTTGATGTCTTTTCGCTGGGTTGTATTTACTATTACGTATTAACAAATGGAAGTCATCCATTTGGAGATGTGTTGAAACGACAAGCAAATATAATGCAAGGAGAGTACAGCCTAAAATTATTGAACATGACCGGTTGTGTTTTAATTTAACTACATTAAACTCTATTTAAAAGTTCCGTATTTCAAATGAAATTATGACTGTACGTTATTTTATTAACGGAAAACGTCGACAATATACTTAATCGAGTGATTAGCTAGTTGCAGTTTATTTGAAATGAAATATTTCGATGTGTAAGTTTATTTATTTTCTCTTTTAAACGCCTTTTGAGCATATTGCTGCATACTATACTCGTTAATCCCAACTCGTTAATTAAGGTAACTTGATGGCAGTTGCTTTGATTGAATCGATGTTGCGACGTGATCCACTACTTCGCCCGGTATCGGCTACTCTAGCAATACATCCATTTTTCTGGAACAAAGAACGTCAACTTAGATTTTTCATGGTAAGATTTTCGTATTTCCAGTAAATCTTACTGCTTAGTAAGATATATACTAGATTGTTTTGGTCAATTTGCTAAAAAAGTCATAACTGCACATATTACCTTGCTTTCCGATAAACTATTGTTTTTGGCATTCAACCCATCATGATAACTAGTTGAAACAAAATGAAGCTTGAAGCTTATCACGACACTTTCCTTTTCATTTAATGTACCAGTGGATTCTGTTTAGGATGTCAGTGATCGTATCGAGAAATTAAGCGAAAATAACTTTTTATTACGTCGCATAGAAGAAAATGCTCGCTCTGCTATCGGTTTCAATTGGCGTCAAGCTATTTGTCCCGTCCTTGCAGTTGGTTTGTTTGTTTTTTATTCCAAACTTCTACCCAAAATCTACAACTGAAAGTTCAAGTTAAAAAAATAAGTAATTTTTATATTTTTAGCTTCGGCACTCACAAATTGATGGTCCACCTTCTCACGTAATTATGAAATGAGTTATGATGGTGTTTTTGTTGATGTCTTTTTTAATGAATTATAATCATGTTTTTGTCGCATATAATTCTTTATGGTGATATTTAAGTTTCCGAATTCAAATATTTGACTTTAATTCGTGGCTACTGTTGGATCATAAATATTATGCGTCTGTATAATTAAGTCATACTCGTTTAGTTAATAAATAATCGAGTAATATTTTATTTAATATACTTAATAATTAAAATCGAATATGAAAGTTATTTTTATATATGAAAAAGAATTTGAAAGTTAATTTTTGTGTAGAACTATGGAAATTGGTTTTTTAGTATTCCATTGTTTTTTCAAAATTTTCTTGATCTAACTATTTTATGATAAGTTGATTGTTTCTGATTTCCGGTCTGTTTATTGTAGATTTACGCAAATTCCGAACTTACAAAGGCAATAAAGTTCGAGATCTATTGCGAGCAATGCGGAACAAGAAACACCACTATCAGGAATTACCTACAGAGGTGCAACAATCGCTTGGTCAAGTCCCAGATCAGTTTGTTACCTATTTCACTGATAGGTTTCCGCAGGTGAAACATAATTATAGGTTTCTCTATGCTGATATTTATTTTCGTGACTTGATATATGATGTCAAAGCAATCCGGATTTTTCAAACTTAAAAGTACGGGATTCAGAATATTATGATGGTTTAAATCCGGTTATGTCTTTAATCCTTACTAGAGTTTGGATAATTTCCATTTTTGTTATTTTGTTACTTCATCATCTTTCAGTTATTGCAACATACCTACGATGCAATGATTTGTTGTGCTAACGAGCATGCCTTCAGTAGGTATTATTCAGAAGAAGCGCGGAAAAAAGCTGATGAATTTGTAGCTGAAATGGCGGCAAGTGAGATTAAAGAGTCCGAAGTTGACAGACAAGAGGTAGAATTTGAGAATAAAAAAAGAGAAAGCATCAGCAGATTAGACGATAAAGAAACAGAAACTGTCGATGAAGAAAATCCGGACGGAAAGATTACAACTGATATAAGCTTACAAGAAGTAGAAATAGTTACGGCAGAAGATCCCACAACAACTGTGGATAATCGTCGGAATCGAAAACGTAGGAAACGTCCCAAACATTATTAATCGAGTCTCTTTATCCTTTATATAAGCAAGCTTTTAGCAGTATCTCTCATTCATTCCTTTCGCACTTTATAAATTCTGTAATGTTTTCCATATGTTGTAATATTTCAGGAAAACATTTCGAAATTTGATATTGTTGTTGAATAAAATGTCAATCTAAGTTTTGCAATGAATTGTATATAAAATTTTACTCTAATTTATACTCATTCTTTAATCTGCATTTATAATTATTCCTTGTAAAAATAACGACATAATCATATGTTGAGAACATTAATGGGAAATAAAATAATGTAACATTGTAACCGAGAATTACTAGTGAGTGTTATATAATGCTTTTTCGAGTAGTCGTAAAAATGAACACGTTGGATGCTTTTAGTAATACTATGTACTTAAGCTCGACTCGTTTTTTAAATAGAATAATATCTCTTTCTGTGTTGTAACTTGTTCTGAAACAAAGTATAGCCATCTAATGGTGATTGTCTTTTATTAAATACTTGATTAATCAAATGTTTGAGTAATTTGTTGATTCTCTTCTCTTTTAGATCTTAAATAATTTTTACTAATTTTTCTTTTGTAAGCTCAGTTCATGTCGCGTTATTTCATTTGTGCCTTTTTTAAAATAACTTTTTACACCATTCTTTGGAAAAAATTTTGAAGTACTAAATTACTAATAATTTGTTTTGAATTCATGTATTATTGCTGTATTAGTAAGATTAGATTATTTTACTTACAAATTACGTGGTGAACAATTGTTTCTAATCTATAGTTTATGAAGCTGAATTTTTTTTATTAAGAACTCCCTCGCTTTTTTAAGTTGTTTCTCAAGTTCTGTTGTAACTTTTCGTGGATGAAAATGAAGGAAATGGTAGAAGCTTTTGACATATTTGTTGAGAACTATTACGAAAGTTATTTGATCCTTCTGTAAATCATAATAATTCCTAAAGTATTGATAGACTGGTTTGATTTGTTTTAACGCTCAGTGGTTTGCGCAAGAGTTCTATCGATTAGCAAGGCTTTGAGTTCTTAGACAATTCTTAATTTAGCGTTGTATAAGGGTTTGAAGTTTTCCATTAATTTTCACTTGAATTTATTTTGGATATATTTTTCACTTATTTTTATTTGTTGGGGAATTATGCATTGTGGAATAATGGTTTTTAAGAATTTCCAATTATTAATTTGATGTTTTCTTGAATTTATTTTATTCAGTTAAAGGATCTGTATGATTTAGATAATTTCTGAAGTCGAGTAATTTGAGAGACATTAATTCTGGAATTATTGGAAGGAGATTTTTATAATTTCGGAGAATTAAATCATAATAGTTTTGTTAAATTTATGACTTGATTCGGACAGTATCTATTCATGTTACTCTGGCTGAATTGTTTTAAAAGTTGTTTAATTTATTATTAATGAAATTCGTGAGAATGTTGTTCATATTTTCTTATTTTTTTTGGGAGATATTCATGAGAAATTGAGTTGAATGGAATGCATAATTGAATAATAAAATAGATAGACGTTAGCACGTAATATATAACGTATTTGCTAAATTTTCGTTGTATAGAGTCGTACAGATGCGAAAGGGGTCAAGAATGAGTTCGGGTACGTAAGAAGATTTGTAAGAGAGAGGATATCGGTAGTAAGAGAGGATGAGAGATATGCTTGAATAGGACTTTTGAAGAATTGCATTTTTAGATTTGTAGAGAAGAATTTATTATTAATGAAATGCATGCGATCATTGTATACGTCTTAGTTTTTTGAGAAATTTTCATGAAAGGCTGAATTGAATGGAACGCATAATTGAAGAAGTAATGAAATAGACCGTTAGTAATTCCTACCTGTAGGGAAGAAAAAATTACTCAAATTCTTTAATTAGAGACTTTCAAAATTTAATGTTTTTCAATAAGTGAGGTAGGGATGTGCTTCTACATGTTGCTGCTTTAAGTTTTGTCTCAAATTTATCTGTTTGGTTATTATCAACTAATTGGAGGATAGAGGTACATGAAGCATCATGGACAAAATTTAAACGTTTCACTAACTAACAGACTATATCAAAAGAATGGTAAGCTTCAATATTTATCTTTCATTCATTCAAGAAGAATCGTGATTTACCGGGTAACAGAAAATTTAGAAGTAACTTTATTGAAACAAACAATATTAATTCATTGAAATGATACGTCAGTGAATGTTTGCATATAAAGCATAATAAAATTGACACATGGAATAAAACCATATGTTCCGATTCATTTATGATGCTGAATTGAAATTCTGAAAGAACTAGAAGCAGATGTGAAGTTACTTTAAAATATTGAAGTACTGGAATTATATTCTCCTTCTATGTTGATGTGTACAACTCATTAGTTCCCAAAATAAACAAGCAATATATCTAAAAAGAAACAGGTAATATTAATACTTTATTTTACTTTCAAACCATTCATTGGTTTAAAAGATCTATAAAAGTTATTACTGTTGACTCGATGGACTTTGCTGAAAGTTCGCTGAAAAGAATTTCATTGATTTAAAATTTTTGCGAAATTTGTCTCTCACTTTTTGATTATTCTTTCTTCATATTTCCGACTGTTTCTGGCATACTAATAATAAAAAATACAATGTGCTATATACCAATAAACTCATTCTTAAAGAGCCAAACCAATAACTACCTGTCGGAGTTGAAATTACTTATGGTGCTTAGGTCAATAACTGAGCTTTCATGAATACCTTTATCACCATATTAACGCATTATCGTATGTCGGCCACCTCATATCGTGAAACTCGAAATAATCTCTCCAATCTCCAAATAACTTACAAATATATCAAATAAAATTTTATTAATCCATAATACTAAAATTCGTTGTAATTGAACGTTAGAAATGTAAAACTGTTCCAAATTATATATCACGTAAGCAGTTATTATTTCAACACTCACCTTCCATTGTAGTTGAGCTTATCTGCTTGTCTATACGTTTTCAACTGATAACAAAGGGTATGTGTATTGTTTAACATGTAAAACTTACTTCTTTGTTCCAAATCAAATTTGCTTACAATGTCGAAATATTGTAAAGGTCTCTTAGCTGATAGTCATCTTTTGGAAAGCTACAATATTAAACCCATCTCTTGCTATATTAAGTGCAGTGATCATCTGATAACTTCTTAACTCAATAATCACGCTGTTGTTGCAGGTCAATACCCACTATAAGGATTTAAACCATTCGTCTTATTCAGTTTTCATCAGTTTTTTCCTCATCAGTAAGCTATAATCGACTATTCTCCCTCACCTAAAATTCAATTCATTTCCCCACCAACTTATTCATTTATCCATTTTCATTTATTCATTTATCTTATTCGTAGATACTTTATGAAACTATCCGTATAGATTAATACCTATATATTGTGGTTGTTCGCAAATAAATTCGTTACAACAGACCTATCATTCAACGCATCCATTCACACTAACTACAATAACAACAAGGAAGACCCTTGAGCATACGGAAGTTCAGTTTGACTTTGAGCCACGTTATGTTCAGACTGAATCCCAAATTCCACGACACCTCGCGGGAGTTCACCTTAACTCATTTTCATTTTTGCCAGTTTCATCCCCTCGAGAAATACGGCACACAAATAAACGCAACTATGCAAGTCTATTACCTCATTAACTGCACTTAGCACCATGAAAAAAAAAATCAAGGACTCCACCAATCCACCCAGGTATCCAGACTAATGAAAATCACCCCTTACCTCGTATTCTACCACCATACCTACCCAATACAGTTCACCTATACTACACATATGTGTTATCATTCCACAACGAAATCCTACTACTATTGTATCTTATAAAACTCAGTAGCATAAAAAACTGCTGCAATCTTCTGTAGCATCTTCTGTCACGGAATACCGTCCACTGCCCACATAAAATTAGTACTTTATTTCAAATTGGAACTTTCAGAGAATCATGATTACTGTTTTTCACGTGATTTCTGCCTTACGACTTTGCATTAGGAATCATTAACTTTTGATTGTAATTTATTGAGAAGTACAACAATGAGATTTGCCGCTATAATTCTTTAAAACTTGCTAATATATGTCGAAAGCGAGTAACAAAATAAAATGTAACAACATAAAAACATGGAAAAGACGATAAATAAAATACTGTAAAAGTTCCTTTTTCACAAAGCTGACACTTTGTGCTCACTCTTCCTGTTCAATGTATTCCGATTCACCTTCCTGAAGATCACCTTCTTCATCAGCCGTCGCATCCTGATATTGTTGATATTCGGACACCAAGTCATTCATATTACTCTCCGCTTCCGTGAATTCCATTTCATCCATACCTTCGCCAGTATACCAATGCAAGAATGCTTTACGTCGGAACATGGCTGAAATCATTAAAAAATCGGATCGACTTAAGTATAACCTCCATAGAACGCAAGTTCAGAGCGATTCGGAACAAACATATTAAAAATGTTCACCTTTTGCATAAAACTCATAATATGGCAAAAAAATCATGTAACCTACACATACCCAATTGTATCTCTTTTCAATCTTGCCAGAAATTTAGTTTTTAGCTATCAAACTAAGCTCAAATGAGATGGAATTAATAAGTTCACCAGTAAACTGTTCGGAAATTCGCTTGAAAAGTTCTTGTATAGCTGTTGTATTTCCAATAAATGTTGCGCTCATCTTTAATCCACGTGGTGGAATGTCGCAAACAGCTGTCTTTACGTTATTTGGAATCCATTCAACGAAATACGATGAATTCTTATTCTGTACTTGCATCATTTGCTCGTCTACTTCCTAAGACCTACTTATTAAAAACTTTGAAACAGCGATGAAGAAAAAAACCCTACATCAAAAACAAGCTTCCACAAAAGAATTGCAGTTAAGCAAGCACTCTGGAAATAGGAAGAACATAACTAAGACCAAGTGATACACCACTAAGTTCAGGTCAAGAAAAACCGACATCACATGGATTAAAATCTTCATGCTTCAGCGGCTGAGTTTAACATGGAGATTATCAAAATTCACTTACCCGCATAGACATTCTACCTCGGAACATGGCAGCTACGGTTAGGTAACGACCATGACGCGGATCACATGCTGCCATCATATTTTTGGCATCAAACATCTGAAGAAATAAGATATTAAAAAACATAAAACAGGAGACATTTAAAGCGATTATAAATGGATTACTTTCAAAAAAAGAGACCCTGACCATAAAAATAAACAGAGACCTGTTGAGTAAGTTCAGCAACATTGAGGGCTCGATAAGCAGCAGCATCACGAGCAGAGAGAGGAGCAAATCCTGGCATAAAGAAATGCAACCGTGGGAATGGCACCATATTGACGGCAAGTTTACGGAGATCGGCGTTCAACTGTCCAGGGAAACGTAAGCAAGTTGTTACTCCCGACATTGTCACAGACACTAAATAGAAATTTTAACCTTTAGAAGAGTTGAATAAATTACAATTAAATCCGAATTTTATAATAGTTAAATAGAATGCATTTAAACCGGACAGTTCGAAGAATAAATTAAAGGACGAACCCAAATGGTTGAGGTCACCGTAAGTTGGATTTGCCAACTTCAACGTTCGGAAGCAGATGTCATACAAAGCCTCGTTATCAATGCAGAAAGTTTCGTCAGTGTTTTCAACTAGTTGGTGGACTGATAATGTTGCATTGTAGGGTTCCAACACAACATCTGATACCTGGAAATCATTAATACGTCTAGCATACTTTTTCTTCAACTATGAAAATGAAATGATAGCCGAAAAACCACTTTGTGAGACAACCGCCACTTAAAAGTTATGGAGCTATGTTTAAAATAGATATAACAGATGTTAAAAATAAGAATCAGAAATTCAAATACATACTTTGGGCGATGGCACAACCGAAAAAGAGCTCATAATTCGATCCGGATACTCCTCACGAATTTTCGAGATCAGCAATGTTCCCATGCCGGAACCGGTACCACCACCAAGTGAATGCGTTAGTTGAAATCCCTGAAAATATTTTTTAATTTTTTCTTTAAAATAAAAACACATCCACAATTAAAATGTCTTATAAAACTATGGCAATCCGTACCTGAAGACAATCGCATCCCTCAGCTTCTTTTCGTATCACGTCCAACACATTATCAACTAGTTCCGCACCTTCCGTATAATGTCCCTTAGCCCAGTTGTTGCCAGCTCCACTTTGCCCAAAAACAAAATTGTCAGGTCGGAATAGTTGCCCGAACTCACCTCCTCGAATAGAATCCATGGTACCTGGTTCCAAATCAACAAGGACTGCTCGTGGCACATATTTGCCCCCTGAACACAAAAAATTAATATCGCTTGAGACGAAGTGAAGATTTACAACGATGCTTGGTTCATTATGGCAATCTATTATCAAGTATATCTTTACAGAAAACCTAAAGAAAAATACTCCTTTTCACTGCATAATGAAGAGAGGAAAAACAAAAAGACGAAAATAAAGATGTATTACAAACATTACTGACAAGCTAACATATGACGAACGTCTTGTTTGGTTTTAATTCCATTACGAAGAGATGAGAAAAAAAAGAAGACTGTTGCACTGAAAGTTTTTTATCTTGGAATAAGTTGACGACGAAGTCCTCATAGTGTAGACTGACAAAGACGAATAACTCGTGAAAAGTTTGAATTGAAGGAATTCTTATTCTTTGTAGGTGTTATAGAATAACAATCAAGACAATCAAGAAACACTGGGGTTAGAAGTTAGAATAGGTCAAAAACACTGTTTGATAAGGTTTTGGTTGAAGTGACGACAATTTGAGATTTGTTTGGTTAAAGTGACAATGTTATTCTTTCCTTATATAGTGCGGTTATTTACTGTATTTTCACAACCGCCAAATAAATTTCACTACCAGGCTTCGAACAAATCACAAGTTAGGTCAGAAAGTGTTTACGATATTCTAAAAATAAGTGTCATTACATTGCAAAAATCCCAAAAATATCATAAACAATAGTTGTGATCAAAGACAGGTAGATGTCAAAATATCTGTTTTACAATCTTGCTATAATCATTCCCAAATATTTCTGTAACAAAAACATCTTTGATTATGTCGGTTATTCTGAAACTTGTATTTAAATTTATCTAATTTAAACAGTCCATCCATCTCCTTATGTCTCAAATGATTTCACCACGATGGACCTTGAAAAGAGACGCAGACATTCTTCATTTAATTCTCGAACACATTATTTTGAGGACGCCCTGATGAACCTCATCCGCCGAACTAATGTTCGATGTCAGACAACAATTGTTTATATATGGGACTATGTGTGGTATGCATGTGTATGTAGAACTATGTATAATGTGTGTGAAAACGAGTGGCAACAACTAGTAGAGAAAACAAAAAAGAACATTCCAAAGCAAAGAAGAAAAAAAACTCCAATAATGGACCAACCATTCGCTTCATTATAGTAGACGTTGATTCGTTCAATTTGCAGGTCTGAATCACCTTTGTATGTACCATCAGGTTGAACACCATGTTCATCCGATATTACTTCCCAGAACTGAAAAAAAAACTCAAGTTATGTTTAAAATTTTCAATTTTTAACTTCAGTAATCCCCTACATCCACATTTTGCTTGCTCCTCAGACATCTTACCTAACTGCAGATTGTTGAAAACAACAACTTATTATACGAAAGATTATCACAACTTGATCTTTGTGATCTAACATCGAATTTTATTAACCGTGATAGATGGTAGGTATTATGTATTGCATTAGGAATCAATGAAGCAAAGAAGGGAGAAGATACAATCGAAGAGCAGATGATAAACGATAGCACATTAAGAAATGAAATGGAATATTTTGACGATGATACCTAAATACCAAAACAATTTCAATGAGGGGAAGTGGGAATTATATCTCGGGAAAATTTCTGCGGAAAGATACCCTCTGATGAGTCATCTTCCTAAAGGATAAAGAGAAAGAGCAGAAAATCAATACCTTGGCACCAATCTGGTTGCCACATTGACCAGCTTGAACGTGGACAATTTCTCTCATAGCTTAAACACTTAATGAAATCTTGTCGACCGAAATGAGACCTGCAATCAATCCGGTAATTACTGATCAAGTCATCCGGCAACTACAATCAGTCACAGAACTGTTTGGCCGACCCATCCGCGCGCCAACCATCCTATCCATCACACAAACACTCACTAAACTGTGGAGAAAGTCGACGGGCTTCCTAGCAACCAGGGCAGACAGGCAGACGGACAAACAGACAGACAGACAGACATGTGAGTATACAGAGAGACGCGTCGAGAAATAACCTCGAACTTTGTCATGTCCTCCTTGCAAAGGTATATAGGGAAGTGACACGGGAGGCGCAATCATTCAACTGTCTGACTGCGCCCTACTTCTCTGCTCCTCTCATTTCCTCGTGCTATCTGCACGCCAAACATAGCGCAAATGGAAGGATTAGCAAATGACCGATGTGATAGGGGAATATACCATACGACATGTGCACCTCAGGCGCTCTTGTTTAGAATTTAGGATAACATGTCTAATGTTACCCTCACCCCAAGGGTAACATTTGAGGGTAACACTTAACCTACCTAAGACTGTGTTAATTTGAATTGTGTGGTCGGATATTGGTGTCATATGCCCGATGCATTGAGCATATGACATTTCTAGTCAAGCTGAAATGCCTTTTAATGAATACTTTCATTGCCATACATATTCAAGACAATTATATCTTTCCGGAACTACAGAAAGAAATACACAGAAGAGTGAGTGAACCGGATTACTGGTAATTCTGGTCATGAAAGGGGAAAAACAAATGGAATATTTTGATTGATTATATTTAAGTACAAGGAATAAAGTAAAATGAAATCCGCAAATTAATTCATAATTCCCTACTTATTATTGCTATAGCGCTGCAATAGTGCTGGAAGCGCCAAGCGGTACTTTGAAATTTCAAGTTTCACCGCAACATTTGCTGTATGTTTAATTATCATTATCATTCTTCAGTGATTGCAAAAATTTATTTATCATAATCCCATATTTATAATTGAAATGATTCTAGTCGTATACATAGTTCTGTAATCATAACTGTGATCAATAAGGTAAAATTATCAATCTATGAAGTGAATTTACAACGTTTCTGATTTAAATTAAATTTCTTGATACTGTCATAAGCTTCATTTGAAGTGATTTCTTTTTCTTGAAACTATATTTTACGTAAACTGCCATCTATTTTTGCTATTCCGAAAACATATTAGACAATCACAATGCTCAATATGTGAAGTACGCATTTCTTCATGTTTTCACTTGTTTTTTGCACTGTAAATATTTCTAGACTTTTGTTACTTATTGGTCTTCTTGTCATTATTTTCGGTAAAACGGACTTTCCATTATTTAGATAAATTAAATTGGGGTTTGGTTATACATTTAGCATTATTGCCTATTAATATACCTAAAGTCTTGTCATAACCAATAAAATTCCTAAAAATGGCATTCCTGTACGAATCTTTATCTTCATATAAAGACTTCATATCTTTTTCTGAAATATATCCCATTGTACTTCAAATTTAAAATTAAATTAAGATGTACTGAGAATATATTGGACCCGGATATGCATTGTAAAACAACGAAAAGTTGATATTCCAAGTTACAAATTACAAATGGGGACATATTCCTCATTCACATCAACATCAATGTGCTTGAGTATAACGTCTTTCTTCCGTCTTTTTTTTTTGAAAATACAAAAACAATCGATATAAAAGCAAACATGATACGTTCATCACTTCTGTTGTTATCTGTTCTGCTATTATTAATAAATTCGTTTCAGGCATTTTATGACCTGCCACGTACAGCTTCGAGGGTTTCGCGTATCAGCTGACCATACTGCTGTTCCAGATACAACGATGAAAAACTCCAATGAAAGCGATTCTCTATTTGAAGGACGTTTCAGAGCAACACGTGTGGTCAGTTAATTTTGTCATCTAATCATCTTCAGAACAAATAAAAGGCTAAAGTAAATGGAACTAATGAACTTATGCTTAGCGATAGTTTGTCATCCTCCATTTCTTTTTTTCATTTACTTATGACTCTTCTTAGACCCTTAATAAGTCTATAGTAAAATTGGAATTTTAAGGATTTTCCTAACCACTTTTTCGATTTCTTAATCGATTTCCTAAGGACTTAATCTGATTAAAACAAGCATGAGCTTTTTTCATCTGTGTACTCTAACAATCACTTTATGCCATACTATTTCAATTTTTATCTTGGCAGTTGGCATTCCACGCTATTTTATGTTTTTAGATCGAATTTCAAATTGTAAAAATTTCAAGATAAATAGTTGCTCTATACTTTGGAAGCTGTCATATAATAAAGCTTCGCTTCTTGTTCTCAGTGGAATGGTATGATAAAGCGCTTTCGAAATGGAATGCCTGTAAAACGACATCGACGTCAACTGCGCATCTACGACGATTGTTTCACAGGTCGCGAGGCTATAGACTTTATGATGAACGAGCTACCAAAATTTATTCATGACGGTAGAGAAATAACCAGGTGAACTACTATTATCACCTTTTAACTGAGATCTAATGTTCAATCCTGAAGTAATGATCTTGTAAACAGTTGCGTCAACAGTGTCAGTTATGTTTGACAAAAAATGTTTTAATGGATGGACTTTGTTTGACACTCTAAAGTACATGTCCAAGACATGGAAAATTCCACTCATCCACTGAAAAAGGGTTTCATCATATCCACGTTTCAGATCCAATTGTTCAAAACTTTTGGGCATGTACTTAAGTATGGGATTGTTTTGTACTGTGCGTGGGAAATGGGATGATAGCGAAGTATTTAAAGAAAGCGAATTGTACCGGTAACTTTTCCAGTTTGTGTTTATATAAAGTTATTCGCAGGCAGTTTCTTTTTTGGACGAATAACTGAACTTTTTTAAAGATTTTCAAGCGTCTCTCCCGAACTGCTGGCTGCAACACCAATTTTAGTCCGCCGCGCCGCTTCATTCAATGAAAGATGTAGTTTCAAACAAAATCGGCCTAGGGATAGAGATTTTGGGTTTACTGCTCTACAAAGGTAAGATGTTTCTTCTGTAAAATAATTAAAAAGTATAAAATTTAAGTTTGTCATAAGTTTTAAAGCAGAAGTTTACTAACTTCTTTGAAAAATAATTAAAATGATATTGAAGAGAAGAACTGAATAGCTGATTTAATAATGAGAAAGGTTTCTTTTAGAGCCCATAACATTGGCTGGAGAAATAGAAACAATAATTCGATAGTACCAGCGCAAGTGCCTATTCTTGCAGTGCAGCCGAGTGCTCCTCTTTCCCGTCGTTTATCAGCATCCCACGGGAATCTGCCTTCTATGTTTAGCTCCCGGGCAAGTTTTAATACAAAAATTTTATCTCTATTTTAAAAAGCAGCGATTAAAATATCCGCTTTTTCAACTTGCTGAATTCGGCTCCTTCCTAATCTAAGGTTTTTCTAGAATTTGAACGATGATTTATCCAAAAGGTCAACCAGTAGAGTTATTCTGGAAGGGACCGTTTCGCAAGAGAAAATAAATGAAGTAACGATGGAAAATATTGAAGTTGGAGCAGGGACATCAAATCAGATTAATATACTAGACGAGATGATCGCTAAGTTAATCGAAGTCAATAGTAATTCAGCCGAATCTTCAGGAATGCAAAAGCTTCGAAATTTCGGGAAAATTATTCAGGTACTGTAAAGCTATAAATTTTCAGTAAATTCATTTAATGGTTATTTTTGTTGATTTACTAGTTATATAGTGATCAAAGTGGAGTTAACTAAGTAAATTAATAATTAGTTGTTGTAGAAGAAAAAATTTTTATAGGCTCGGACTCCGGAGAGTTGCCCGCCTTCTGGATCTCCAGGAGCGGTTGTTAATGAGGAACATAGTGGTGCTCATCTGTTCCTTGATACCAGCGAAATCTATAAGAATGTTCTACTAAATCGGTAAGTTAATGTGACACATTACTCTTCTCAAAGAGCGATTTGTAAAAGTTCCTGTTGATTTCAGGTTGAGATCACTGCTGCAGGTAGATTCATTAAATGGGATTCTCGATTATGACTTTAACGGTGGAGATATTAGATGGAATTGCGAACGGGTCGGAACGAAAGGAATAGTTCGTGTTCAACCTGAGAATGGTAATGTTATATTTGAAAGACATAAAGCTTTTTTTTTTTTGAATTATAGCTATTGTAATGAATGCCCTAGGAATCAGTAATTCTTTCGTTATTTGAAATATAAATAATTTATTGGAAGGGGAACTTATACTGCCTTCAAGCAAACACTTCTTTGTATATTATACAAAGGTGATAAACCATTTGGAAGCAAATAAATTAGATTAGTAATTTGAAGCTGAAAAAAGTACGTGAAGACAATAAAAATGAATAAAAATTATGATTTTTATTTTTCTACAGATTATCTAACAAATTATGTTATTACAATGATGCGTTATCTGTCGCGATGGCCATTCGATACAAAGTTTGCGGAATCTACGCATGTACCATACGAAGGATTCGAATTAAATGTTTTCAAAAGTGTTTGTGAACAGTTTGATAACGATTGTCCAATGCTTCCAAATCTTGTTGCATTGTCGATTCTACATATCATACAATTGTTTCGTCAGAAAAGTTTTCAACAGCGAAACTCAGGTAATTTCTTCAGGATGAAGTTTTGAAACTTCGAAACTAAATGCTCTTATTTTTGCTGCAAATAATTCGGCTTAATGAAGTGGTTTTACTCTTTTACTCTTTCAAATCGATTTTTCTTTTCAGCAGAACTGCGTAAGGAAACAGTTTTTTGCGCTGACAGTTCACCATTTACACGTTACGTGCAGAAGACGGTTAATTCTCAGGTACAATATATTTTCTGCATTAGGATATTCAAAACATTGCAATGACCGGCAAAAAGATACAGTGGTTGAAACTATTTTTATAGAATCAAAGTAAACTAGATGGAAAAGATGAAAGTTCTAATTTGCGTACAACAGTATCGCCTAGCAAAGGATTTACTGGTGAAGAACATACTATGTCACCACCAAATACTATGCGCTCTTCCGTATCTACGTTGTCAGCAGACAGTGAAACTTTTTGTAAGTTGTACATTAGTTTTAGTAGATGTGTGGAAAGAACTGAATGTAAACATAAAAGAATACAGAAGAAATTTTCAGGAGTTTTCTAAGGGGATTATATTCTTAGCGCTCGTGATAGTAGCTTTAATTGACATAAAAAATCGATGCCATATTAATACCAAGAGGATGTGGAAAATCCTTAAATATACCATTTTGCTTCCCGAAAAGACAAAATAATCGTAGGTCTAGATGAGACATTTTGAGATGGATGACATGTATTTTAACTTGATTTAATTATACTTGCAGTTAACATTTCATGTCTGTTTGTCAAGATCTCTTTCAGCATATAAAATGGCCTATGAAGCAATTTTAACTCGGCTTCCGGGTCTGCAGCGAAGTCCTGAGCTTATGCAGCGTATTGAAGAACTGGCCAAAACAAACACTTTTGTGCCACGCTCAAGCACTCCTCGTATAGAATTTTGTGTACTGCTCGCTGGTTGGTTTTCTAGTCTTATTTTAATTAAAGAATTCAAATGACTTGATATAAACACAAATATCCGAAATCCGATTTTGAAATTATCTAGACTTGAATATATATGTATTTGCCCAAACTATTACTTTATTTTGTATTATACATCCGGTTCGCTGAAAGTGTTCATTTTGCAAATATATTTAGACTTTTTAAAGAAAATTTACCAGGATATCAGAATATTTAGTGAAGGTGATTACACTGTTATAGGGGTCGACAGTGAAAATGAGAGATTGCTGAAAGAAGCGGTATCACTAGTCATGCTAACCTTGGAGCCACGTGTTCGTCGCCGACTACACTACTTGTTGCGCTTTATGCAACGTGTCAGCCGAAATTATTGTTTACGAATGGATAAACGTCGTGATAACCGTTCAATTGTAAGAATTGTAATCTGGAGAATTTTTACGTGTTTCAGAATAATATCGAAAATTTTATTTGTAAACGCAACATGTGTAACATTTCTGTAACGTCTCAGAACAGTTGTGGGAGGAAATGATGCTTTTTCCTTTGGTATTCGTTTTCATGCTAATTAGTATCTGTAGAGCAAAAAGATGGAGTTCTCAGAGTTAAATAAAGAAATTGGTCGCTTTTAAAGAAAGTATTCTAGAAATTCACAAATGTTTTTGAACTTCTGAATTTTGTTTTTTGTTGCCAGAAATGATTGGGAAAACTAGAATGGAGTAAATTGTTGTCAAAAATGACTGGGAAATCTAGAAGAGAATTGCTTTCACATATTCTTTGTTATGATTAGCACTTTTTTCAGGTTCTTGAAAGTTTGCCGAACAAGATAGTACGTGCATCTCAAGCTATAAACGCGTCAGAATGCCATCAGTTGGTCATATTTTTAATGGATAATGAATGTGATACGTTTTCCATCCCGGAAGCATTTATTTCAGAAGTCAAACATCAGCTGTCGTTACCACATGAGGTGGATTTTAATTCTAAGTTTTCATTAAAATGAAGAGGGTCCTCGTTTTGAAGTAATTCTTTACACTCGTTTTGTTATAGCTTTTGCTGGAATCTATTATTTCAAAATCTTGCCACAACTTGGAATTAAGACAGAAAAATGTCCACAAAAATATTTTTAGCGAAATTTCAGGTTGTCTTAAAGAAATCGCCAACTGTTCAACAGCCTATCACTGATGAATCATCAGGTACCGAACGTTTGAAGGAACACTTCTGCGAACCAATCAAAGTAGAAGAATACGAATCACAAAAGAAGGATGTTGATAGTTATTTACTCTCTCTCTTGGATGGCATATTGAGCGATGAAAATCTTTCAATTGCAGATCGGAAGCAGCGACTTAAAAAGGTTAATACAGGAACAGCTAAGTTCAAATTGAAAAATTACTTTCCTTCCTTTATTAAACTATTTTTGCAGTTCAAAAAGACTTATCCAGAGATCTATGCACAGAAATACCCGTCTCCTGAATTGCCGAAAACTCGATTCATCGACCGAATTAGGAATTTTCACTTCTAAGTTGAGCTGTTAGCATTTAATTTACGCAACAAGAAATAAGCCGCGAAATCAGTCATTAAGAAATAGTAAAGTGGAATATGGACATCTTGCTCACTGGATTGTGATTGGAATATGTTACTTTCTACTGATGAATTAAATATTACTAGCAAAAAGTGTAAGAAGTTTCATTATGAGTGTAGTGATTTCATTTGTAATTTAACGTTCTTCTGGAAATACTTGCATGTGATTTAAGCAAAGCGTTAAAAAAATATGCCAAAATATAAAATATTTGAATAGAAAAAAATATATCAAAATATAAAATATTCTCTTTTTTTTGTTCATTGTGTGAGTAAATATAACTGATGTGTGAATGAATCCCGTTAGTCTGGAGTAATTATTATTTGATATCTTGGGGCAGCATCCACAGAGCGATATTAACCTGCTTTGGAAGTGATTCAGTTTCTAACAACGCCATCCCACGTTAGATCTAGGTTTCAATTAAATAACGAGAACGCGCTTTTTTCCATTCTTCAACTTCGCATTGGCTTAATACCACAAAAGGATTTTACCAGTAAAATTTATAAAGCTCCAAAACAAAAGATACAAAAAGTTTTCAACTCCAAACAACGGTGGGATTTATGACAGTTTGAAGAAATAGTAACAATAAGAATTAACTTGAAACAGCTGGAATAACTGGCAGCTCCTTTAACTTCCGGTTCACCTGTAATACATATTCTAATTTGGCTGAGAATGAGCGAGATTTTGAGAAAGAAGAAAAAGAGGAAAACAATTCATTTTAAGAAATAGAAAACACGTTTACCTCTTGCAACTTCTGTATTTGTTTGATGAAATATTCCCCAATTCGGCGAGCAACTTTTGTGTCCGCAATAATGATCATATCCTGAAGTATGAATGGGCTGAACAAAAAGAACAATTTCGGTGAATAAAATTCACAGCTTAATACGATTAAATAATTCTGCAAACATAAGAAACAAAGCTGGACCTTGTCAACATAGAAGTCGAGATCTGTTGTTGAGTCGTCGATTTCACATCTATCTATACATTCCTTTCCCAGCTCATTGACGATCATTTTGAAACTCAATAATTTGCCAACAAATGAGTCATAATCCGCATCTGCAAATAACTGATAACTTCTGATAATTTCGATTCATTTCAATTCTGGGTTGGTCAAGTTCATTTATTTACTTGTAAATATGAATATGAACAATAAAAAAAAAAGTGACAAAAACTTACCGCTAACATCCATGAAGCTTGCAAGCTTTCTTGTTGGCAAAGTTGTATACAATTTTAAATAGCCCCGCAAGATTGGCAACATAATTTGTGATTCAATTTCTTCTAGAAAAGCATTACACTGACGGAGCAGCGGTTCCTAAAAATACAGAAGTCAGAATACCATAAATGCCAACACGCTATAATTTAATATCAAAATTACTAACAAGTTAAACGTTAATTATTGGAAATATTGTAAAGATGTCGTGGTTAGTAGGTGAAAGAAACATTGTCGGATTTACAAATCGGTTAGTATGAAAATTACCTTTGCCTGATTTGAACCTTCGTAAACTACTGTGGTAGGAGATAAGAACTTCGGGCATCCTTGCTGGAAAGCAAGGCGGAACTCATCAATGTTACTGAAAAAGAAAATTACTATCCTTTCACACATTAATAAGCCGTATGCATCATTTGCTACTATCGTAATGTACAAAAATAATTTTTTTCCTAATGTCAAGATAACATTTGTTTCAAAAGAAAAAAAAAAACCAATTTAGATTTTTCCGGGTGGTCTACAAAATACTCAAACAAACGATCTGAAAAATAAACTGAATTGTTAATTAACTATCGAGCTCGAGTTATAATTACTTTTTATTTAACTGACCCATTACTCATATGGTTCATACGTTCTCCAGTCCTTTCATATAGTTGCGACTGGATGGAATCATCAATCCGTTGAGGTTGTAGAGTCAAACAAATAGCCAACAAATGATATAACTGTTCGTTCGTTTTCCCAATCTATGAGCTCGGAATAATAACGACGTAAACTTATGAACAAAAGAAAGTTTTCGACATAAAAATCTGGAAGTATAGTGCACCATGGCTAACACTAAATACGATGTATGAGTTGATGTCATTTCTACACTTTTTTTACTTTTTTTCAAAAAGTACACGAAGGAAAGTAAATGTAACAGGTAGATGAATCAACCTATCTACAAGATATTTAACGTAGTGAACAGAGGTGATAGTTATTTTAACAAGCACTAGCTACTTACTACGTCATATTGAAAATTCTTCTTCTGCTGTTGATTCTGTTGTTGAACACTTTTTGTTCGTTGTATGTAAAGTAAACAGTTTACGAATATCTTCGTGGCTTCACCATAATTTCGCATCATCATATGAGAGAAGCCAACGAAATAATGAAATGTAACCAAACATGAAGGGACGGTATTGTATAAACCCTACAAAAAAAAATCGGATCAAATATTTTAAATCATCAGGAAAAAATCAACAATTGGAAATGAAAAATATATAGTACAGAAAATCGCACATAAAACTGTAACTCAACCACAAGAGTTCAACTTATTTAAATGCTCTGCTATGAGTACAGCAACTCTATATAGCCCTACGAACCGATATCAGAACATATAGCATATCGAAATTTGAAATGACGTCTGACACTTCAACAGGTTTCTTCATTATCAAATGGTAGAGATAAAATTGATGGGAATATAGAAGTAGGATAAAAAATAAATAGCTCCCCTCCCATATTTAAGAATATGGTTTCAAAAATTACATCCGACCTCAACTAAAATGCAATAAAATTATCACATAAAAAAATGAAAATAAATGAAAAATATTTTTCGTGATTAAACCTTAGGATCAAGCTCAAGATTTTCAACAGTCTTCAGCGCTTGATGATAATCCCCAAGCAACACATGTGTACGAAGCAATCCAATTAAGGAGAAATAACCAAGCTTAAAATACAAAGCAGAACGGCCAAAATCATCCGCGACATCGTCTGGGTTTCCTGAATAATTCATATGACCAATTAAATTTCGACTGGGTTTTCTATAATGAATACTCAAGTTTCACTGGACTCAGAAATGTGATCTGTTCAGAAACATTTGTTAAAAACAAGAAAAAAAAAAAACTTTCGCAGCTTCTGCAATCTACACCGCACTGTATCATGATTCAAAGTGATGTCAGTACCTTCAGTTATACCATCCACTACTGTTTGACACCAGTATTAATAACAATAGAAGACTATATATCACAAGTATTGAATTGATTAAAATTACTTACTTCCCTCCCGTATGGCCAGCAACTGCTCGTCGATTTGCGACTTTGCCAACAAAGAGTACAGAATATTCAACACCGGATATATATTCCAGGCCTGCAATGTGATCAGTAGACTAAATAATACAAGCTTTGCTAAGTACCATATATATATATATATATATATATATATATATATATATATATATATATGTATGTAAAGACATACGCTCTGGTTCTGCTCAATTGAAAGAAGGTCTTCATATTCTTCCGGGCTTCTTTTTCCAGGATTCGCTTTGTATAGACAAAAAGCTTGGAACTGCAAAATTAGAAGTGTAAACAGCGATTTTGACAATTCTAACAATAGCTGTTTCGCCATTATGTTTGTAAGATAACAGGTCTCTAGAAGCAGTCATGACTTTAATTACAATCTTCCACTTTTAACTATTCAAATAACAAGTATTTCTGTTCAGTACATGAGGGCCCACGTACTTATTGGTGTTTAAAATAAGCAATTACAAGTAAATAAGTACAAAATAGACAAGCAACTAAGCAGGAAGTAATTATTACCTGGTAAACAAACTCGTCAATAATATCCCAAAGCCAAACATTTGGCAACTGAAGTGATAATGGCTGTTTCTCAGGTGTCAATACCTCACAAAATAATTCCTGCAGTGAAAACTTTGATATCTGATTAAAACTAGAATCTTTGTTTGGATTCTGTGCGCATAAGGCACTTTCCATAACTAACCTGGTAATTTTGATATGAATCGAAACGATGAGCTAAAGACGGACCACGCTGCATCCGAGTGTAAACGTGACGAAAATACAACTCCTTGTAAAGAATAATGAAGATTCGACTGTCTGAAAAAGCAACAATTCTGTTTCTGTAATTCGAAAACAGAAAGATTAAGATTTTATCATATAATGATTGAAGACCTCTGTAATATCAAGATTTTAGAGATACCTTGTTTTTAAAAGGACAAAAAGAGAACAATAACGAACCCGACCCAACAATATTTTCCACTGCTTCTTCGTTTGGCCAGAGACGTTGCTGGAAATAACGCTCAGTAAGGTCCGGGAAGCCGTGTTCATAAAGATTATGTATTTCGACAACATTTTCTTCATCAATCATTCGCTTGAAATAAATCAAGTATTGTGCAACATCATCTGGTACCACTTCATCACTCATAGTATCTAAAATCAAATAAAAACTAAATTTAACGCCACATATTCACAGAAATAAATATAGCATCCGGAATATCCATTTATATTATGTGGCTTACATATATCCGCCTTCATTGACACAACTTCATAAATGGGCTAGCCTTCAAATAATTTTAATATTAGAAACGGTTATCGAAGATTTAACAACTTTTAGTGCTTAGAAAAAGTAGATTCTAAATTCCACATATGAATTCATCTTATTAATCTAAAAAGCCATTTCAATTGCAGTACCTGCATTAGGTCTTTCATAACTTTTTTTTTTTAATGTAAGATGGTGGATTAAATTCTGAAAGTTAGAAAAATCTATCCACCACCTCACTTACAAAAAAAACTCTATCTGTTTATTTATTTCCTCATCTTTCCATCATTTAGCACAGCTCTGTGAATTCTCTGTAACCACATTCTATTAGTGTTAAACAAACCTCGTCGCACATGCTCCCTTTCATAAGCAAGGTCACGTTCTGGATCACCTGTATGTCCACCATCAAATGAATCTCGCACCATCT